ACACTGCATATTCTTCTGATACGTTAAATGATTGATATGTAAGAAGAGAATCAATGCTGAAATAAAACACTTAAATTTACAGAAACCTTAAGATAAACATTGTACTTTTCTGTAAAATAAAGCATACTTGCAACTCTCCTTTTTTTGTTGTTAGATATCAAGCATATGAAGTGAAAGGAAGCCTTACTTTACACAAGCTCCGTATTTATGTTAGTAATCCTCAATAAGGAAATCATATGGAGATTGATGTTCTGTCAATTGATTGCAATCTCTATCACTTAAGACCTTGGTATTCAGATGGCAAATGAACCTCGTTAGATTGGATGGTGTATGTCAATATCCAAATAGATGGTAATTAGTATAATCACTGAATTGCTAAACACTGACTGAAGTTGTATAAGTTATGAAATGAAAAGACAACTCCTATTGTCTACCATGAAAGTCTTCTGAACAATACGCTTCCATTTTTCTCTCTGATTTATGGTAGTGGATTGATTTATACTAGCCTATAATGAAGACTGTCTGGCAAAATCACAAACATATGCACACTGGATGATTGAAGACAACTGATAGAAAGATTTATTCACAGGTTGCATAATATCTACTGTTTCATGATTAATTTGTATCTATAATTCTGAGAAATATCAAACTTATTCAAGTACACTTCAATGCTGACAGTCGAAAGGGGAAAACAACAGGCTAAAAAATCTGAAGAACTGCATCCTCTTGTAAGCAAACAGGTTGGCTACCTTTAACAGTAATATAGAACCACATACACAAACATTTCAGATAAGTACAGCTGTGACCCATGATGCTTGCTTGCTGTCTGACTTAGCATAGTGTTCGGACGTTGAAAACTACAACATGAAATCTACAACTGGGTCATAGTAGACTAAGACTGACGTTTCGATGGCTTTCACTGTTAGCAGTGGTCGCCGATAGGTTGAAAACGGCATATCAGGAAAGTAGGAAACAGATTTGAAGAGGATAGGTTATGTTTCATTGAGACTTCTATACTACTGGATGTATGTGGGAAGTTGACACCTTCCGCCTGCCCATACCGTGGAAGGAAACACTTTACTGCTGTCACATCCCAGGCCACCAAAAGCACGACTCAACTCTCAGACGGCCATCATAGTGCAGCAATTTACACTACAACGGTAACTGCCCTTAATCTTAACACTATCAAACAGATATATCTGGCATGGTATGACGTCAAGGGAACAAGTGTTCTAGCCAGTGTAGCTCATTGAGTCATTGTGATATACAAGACCGACTACACCATCAAGGTAGCACACATTGTCGGCTCATCGGTCAACTCACTTATTATTTCTAACCAATGCATCACAGCCTTGGAATTCACCTAAACCTACAGAGATTTTGCCAGGCAAGCAGGTATCATTAACCATTCTCGTGACATGTCGAGCTGATTCCTTACTGCAGAAATAGACTCAACAGACTTCAATTCAACTTGTTTGAATACCGAAAATATTGTAGCCCTCGTGAAAAGATGACCAATCAGTCATGCTAGTAACCTTCACACACTGCCTTCCATAGCATGTCAAAAATCACATGAAGAATTAATCAAATGAGGGAAGAATTAGATTTCCAATACGACACAATATTAAAAATATACCCTACAGGTAGATAAAAACACCCTATTCTGGAGAATGGTCCTTTTCATATACTATAAACAAACCTCAGTATGTTCTAGAACATCCTTTTAAACTTCAAGGAATACAATGACCACAGAAATCACATTCCTGATCCCTCGCATGAGTTTCATTCCAAAACAACAGCTCATTTAGCACTTAGAAGGGAAGATGGTAACTAGCTGACATCTTATCTTTCCTCTTTCGAATAGATCCGAAGATGGATAGCATCCACTGGAAAATATAATCAACACATCCATGCAATTTTGTAGGCATACAAACACACCCTCCCCACCCCTCACTAAACAAAACTCACACACAACACACTCTGTCATCATGGCAATCTACACAATTTCAACGCGCTATTTATTCATCAAACATTGACACCAGTTGGAGGACCACTGAACAATTACGAGTACTAGACAACTGTTTCTTTCCTATATGCCACTCCCCACAAGTAAACATTCACCATCCTCCAAGAGTTCAAACCCAACACCGACATTCAACCACTGGATCAGAATCTAATTGTCCACACCATCTTACTTCGACTTCTGTCAACTCATCACACAGCATAACCATCATGCAATGCCACCGACGAGTATTTTCCCTCACACCCAAATCAGATAACCCAACAGGTCATGGCTTCTCACTACTGGAATCGGGGAGAAGAAATGATGCCGGCTGGTGAAATTCTAATGGGTAACATCAATGCCAAAGTGGGAACAGATAACACCAGAAGACAATTCATCATGGGTAGAAAAGAACTCGGTGAAATGATGAATGAGAATGGAGAACTGTTTGCAGACTTCTGCGCATTCAACGATTTGGTGATTGGAAGTACTACGTACAAACACAAGGATATTCACAAAGCGACATGGATTTCACTAGATCGACACATTACATTAAAAATCAGATCGATTTCATCTCAATGTGAAAGAGGGGAGACGCAGCCTACTGGACACAAGATCAAATCAACAAGGGCAGCAGATGTAGGTTCATACCACTCGCTATTTAGTCCAAGGAACCTAACTTCAAAATCAAGTTGAAAGTCTTCAGAGAAGTTGGTGATAGACCACATTTCAAGTTCAACCACCAGAACAGAAACTGAAAGACGAACGTAAAAAGCACATCTTCACATCAGCCATCAGAACAAAATGAGAGATATTGAGCAACATCCCTGAAGAAACCTGTGTGGATGAATACTGGAACTCTTTGAGAGAGATTTGGAAAGAAATCTGCATAACCGTATTAGGAAGGAAGAAGAACAGGCAAGACAAGGAATGGATTTCGACAGACACATGGAAGCTCAGAGACGAGAGGAAAATGATGATGGTGAAGCAGAAGATGAACCAGTGCAGTGGAGTGGAGTGGAGTGCAGGGATGAACAACGAAAAGAGGAACTGAATACAACCCAGAAAACACTACACTCAACAAAGAAGTGAAGAAGAGTGCGCGCAAAGACAAACGACACTTCTACGACACACTTACGAGTGAAGCACAACAGGCTGTAGGTAAGAGGGACAGATCTCACAACACCATATCAAATAACCAAAATACTTTCTGGAAGGGGAGAGATCAACACAACACCGATGAAACCAATGAAGGATAGAGACGGAAAGCTAGTTACCAAAGAGGAGAAACAAAGGAAACAATGGGCTGACCACTTCAAAAACCTCTTGAATCGACTACCATCACCACCACCTGTAACTCACCCAGAAACACCACCAGCAGCCCAGCCACAGAACTATCAGTGAACACAAACCCTCCAACAGAAGCAGAAGTCCTCAACGCCATAAACATGCTGAAATTCCGGAAAGCAGCAGGACCGGATGGAATTCCGACAGAAGCACTGAACACAGATGCAGACATAACAGCCGACATGCTCACACGACTGTCAAATCTCCAAACCTAAGCCTTTGCAAGAACTAGCAACGAATCATGCTCCTCTTCACACTAAGCAAAATATTATGCCGCATCATCCTAGACAGACTAAAAGATGCGCCACATTCGAAATTACGATCGGAACACGCTGATTACCTGCCTTCAGGAAGAACAAATCATGTGCAGACCAAATTGCTATGCCATGCTACGCATCATCAATCATAGAACAGAGCATAATATGCCAGTCAACCCCTAACCTCAACTTCAATTTAGAAAAGGCCTCCAACAGCGCTGACGGAGAAGTAATTTGGCATCTGCTTCAACACTACGCTCTTAGTGCCACAAAACTTGATCAACCTCGTTCAACAGATATACAAAGATGCCACATGCAAACTGACCCACGGTGGAAAGCTCAGTGACGCCATCGATAAGACGACTGGAGTAAGACAAGATTGCCCACAATCACCGGTGACCTTCTTCCTCATTGTGGTCAACTAAACTGGACTGGATCATGTAACAAAGTGTGAGGAGCGAGAAGATGGGCTGATGGAACGATGAAAAACATTCTAGAAAATTTGGATTTCGCCGATGATAATCTATGTCTAATATCTTTTCGCACAAGATCAAAGATCTACAGTAAAAAAAACCAACAAGTTGACAGAACAGGCAGGGTAGGGAAAACGGGACTTCCTTCAGGTGAACGTAGAGTAAACAGAGGTAATGAAGACACCAACCAAACTAACAACAACAACCAGCACCAATCACAACCAACGGGAGAAACCCAAAGTAAGTAACCTCTTTCACCTACCCAAGCAAGACAGCATCGTTTCAACTACAGGAGGCACAGATGATGTCAAAACCCAGGTCAGAAAAGCAAGGCGGACCTTCATCATTCTGAAATCAGTGTGGACATCTACTGCACTGCACTCGCATAAAGTGTGACCAACATCAGGATTTTCAACACTAATCTCAGTCAAGTCAGTGCTTCTATGTGATGGTTGAGAGACTTGGTGCATTACGAAAAGCATTTCCAAAAAAACTACAGACATACATCCACAGCTGCCGTCTATGCTCACCTCATTCTAAAGATCAGATGGATGGCCAGAATAATAAGAATAATAACAACAAGGAACTCTGGTTGGCCTGACAATCAACCAACCAAGAACCTATCACTCAACAAATATGCACAAGAAAGTGGAGATGGATTGGATTGGACATACACTAAGGAGACCATTTGGGGACATAACGCACCAGGCCAAGTCAGGCTGTCAAGTGGGACCCAAATGGAAAACGACGAGTTGGGCATCCGAGGTGAGGGTGACATGGAGGAGATCGTGTGATGAAGAAATGAAAGCTTATAGACAGTCATGGAGCCAGGTTGAAAGGATTGCACACCACAGAGTGCAATGGAGGCGTGCTACTGTGAAGCCCTATGTTCAACTAAGGAAACCAAAGGACAAATAATAGTAATAATAATAAGACTATATATTGTCAAGATTACTGTACACATCTGATGATGACGGTGAAGAAAAATTACACAAACAAAACATCAAAGGTAAGACATAAAATATACATACGATGCATTACGTTATATTTCACACTACAAAGTTAACAAACTAATCATCCCATTACAAGTCACAAACATATCGAAACATTTAACGGATCAGTAGAAAAAGGTGGAATACTCGATAAAACATAATTGCATTGTCCTATTCACTTCTCAAATATTTTCCTCACAAATATCAACCCGCAAATGCTACGACATAATGGATGGAGAAAAGTAAGTATGACAACCGAATCTTTACAAAGCAGGATGCAATAAAGGACTTGGAAAGTAAGACAGACGATCTCTCGGTCGAAAATTTCGTACTAATCCTTTGCCTCCTACTCCTCCTCCTCCTTCATCATCATCACCATCTCCTAGTATGAATGTTTTCTGTGAATCAGTTGGAGATAGGAAAGCATCATCACCATTACCAACGTTATTGATTTCCGATTGATGTACGCCTTGACTACTATTCCTTGTCATATCGAAAGTCTCATTCAATGCATGAACTGGCCTCTTCTTTTCATTCTTCATATTCAGTTGTAATGCACGCGCTTTTCGTTTAGCCCGTAGAATCACAGGAACATCACATGGTGGTCGCATTATCTCGGTTCCATTTTCTGAAATCTTCCTTGCTACTTCATTCTCATCACAAGAATGATCACTAATACGATTTTGACACTTGCCCATAATGCATTGACAATATGATGGTGTACATGGACGACCAGAACGCCTGCAACTACATCGAGCTTGACACGCTCCACGACATTTACATCGAGATCGATGCGTATCATCATCCGTAGCTAACTAGTAGACAGAGAAAACCATCAACATGATATTTACTCTTATGTACAAAACAATTTTTAATGGAGGGGGGGAAGACTGTGGAAAAACACCTAAAATAAAAACTGAACAAACTAACAGAACATTAACACTTCAAAGTTTAAGCACATCATCAACAAAACATTTTATGAGATATAGAGGTGATATAGAGGTGCACAGTGACAGTAATAATTATCCAACACATTTCATAGTTGACGAGAAAAATATCAGTTGACCAACCTGAATTCAACAGGTCAACTCAGTTAAACTGACTAGTAGTCAGTGATAAACAAACTACCCTTTTAAAAATATTGAGAATTCATCAAACAAACTGAAACTATGAGAGAACGCCATTCATGCGGTTAACATCTAGAATTATATTATTCCACGGCTTGCCAATCGAAAGAAAAAAACAACCTCTCTTAGGGTTAGGGTGCTTCCACTTTCCATCGTACTCCAAGGAATATTCCAGCTCTGTGACTTCATACTTTCATATACTACTTCAGCATAGATTTTTTCATTCAACCTATACAACACTTTGTTGTATCGATGAGTTGATTCACTCTGCATTAGTGATGACGTAGAGCTGACACAAAAGTCTTAAACACAAGTCATCATTCTCAAATACACTTCATCACTGACTATTCACCAATTTCCAACCCATATACATATATGTTCTAGTCAACTTGAGTGTACCGTATTCATACGACCACAGTTGTGAAACATTATTAAGTCGATCATGGCCCAACACATACTAAACTAACACCTATCATCCCCCCCCTCATGTGTTGTTGTATAACACTTCAAGTGATAGGATAATTGACAGAACCTTCACTAGACCTGCACAAAGATATTTGTGTCAGTGTGTGGATTAAATCCACTGGCGCCCTAAGTTGTTTGAAAAGTTACACACTTTATGCTAACTTAAAACCATACACAAATAGATAACCCAACTAAGAACAAGAAACACAAGGGCATCCATTTGAAGATACCACACTTCACACCAGCATGTAACAAAGAAATGTAAAAGAAGGAATACACAAAGAAAAATATGTGTCACACCAAAACCAATTCACAAATGAAGGTCAAGCACTTCAGAGACTAATTACATGTTTTAGTCCGAACGTCCTGTGCCTTCTTCCAGCCTCAACATATTCCAGCAACACTAACGTGACGAGACAAACAGTACTAGGCATGTGTAACACATTTCCCAGTCACCTGATTCGATGAAGGTTCATGAACTCATCCACTGACTTCCCTCTCCTCTACACTTGGTTTCTGCATCACTCACATGGCGACACCATCACACGTGGCATATGCTATGATGACAACAGTAGTCAAACACACCTGAAGCCTTATCATGTCCTCTACCTCTTTAATGGTCATGCTTCACAGACATAAAGTCAAACAGAGCAAACTGCACGACAGTACACTCGACCCTTAATAGACAATAGGATGTCATGCCAGTGCTTTACGTGGTGTAATCTAGCAAAATCAATCAGGCATTTTGTATCAGTGCACAGATTTCATCAGCCACTGATCCTACTTCATTCTCTATTGTTACTTGCGCCATCGCTAAAGACCACTGACACAGCAACAATTGGCATTCAGCTGGCGTCAAACGCATCCCAAACATTCTTAAATTTATACTCAAGGTGTTCAGATGGCTCTGCACCTTGTCAGACTCTTCAACTAACAACACTATGTCATCTACCTATTCTAAACCTATCAACAACTCTTCAGTCACTAGATCAATCCCTGTGATGTCAGATGACGAGAGGAAGAACACCATCAAAACGTCTACGACAAAAAAGAACAGGAATGGAGACAGTCAACAACCTTGAAAGACACCACTCGACATACACACAGACCTCACCATGAGCTCTCTCAGTCACAGACACTGCCATAAGACCTCTCGATACAAGGGATGCAATGCCACATTCACTACGAGAAGTAAAGCTTCACTCAGGCATCCGTTAGTAAGCCTGTGTTCCAAAACCTGGAGGACTGTAGTCGATACACCTACACTCAGGTATCAAGCCTATCCGATTTTATCAAACCTGCTGCTCTCAACTTCCACTCACATTTTATACTAATACAACCGAGAATCCTAAACACTATGTTCCTCATGCTGATTCCTCTGTCGTTATCACAGGACTTCTCACCTTTCTTCAACACTGGGATAATCAACGAATGAAACCATTCACAAGAGTTCCTATACGACTCCCATCCACTAGTTAACACAATTCAGACAACTTCACCATTGTCCTTAAATACGACTAGGAGCACTTCGTCTGATACTCCTTGTTATTCAAGCCACCTACCGCTTTCTCGACTTCTCCAAGTCTTGGAGGCCAATCTCAATGTTCCATTCAGGATCTGACTGCATACTGGGCAACCCAATAGTAGCCAGAGATGAGCTGAACTGCTTGTCAAAGTGTTCCATCAATCTTTCCAGTCATATCCCCCACAAATTAATTACAAACTCATCCATCTCCTCTAAACTCTCGTTAACCACTGACCTTAGCACCATGCTTTCCTCAACAAGTTGTAATACTGTCTACTGTTGCCTACTTCTACTACCTTTCAATTTCTTTGAACTTCACTACACAGCACACAACTGTTCCCGATCGATGACTAGACTAGTCCATGTATCCACTCAAAAGAATCTCCTGATATCTACCGGCTCTTTTCAACCACCTCTTTCACAGACGACTAAGATCTTAAACGTTGTTTATACACCAGGCTGCAGATGGTGCATTAACCTCTTCCGAATGAGTGATATTGTTCTGTTCCGATACCAATCAACCTAGTCTCTTACCAAAACATGTTTTAATGCTCTCATTGTTCAGTTGCACTTGCAATGGTCTTGTTGCTAAAGCTTTCCTACGTCCATTGAGACACATTTATACACACACGCGAACAAGCAGGTGCCACACAATGACTGACAGTCTTCCACCAAACTTTCAAGCGATGACTGACAGCCATGTAGGCAATCTGTGTCAACAAAGTCAGACAATATCTCTCTTTATGGCCAAATTCTCGGATGGTCCCATCATTGAAAGCTCAAATGGGTAATTTGCACAGCGGTTTTAGCAAACTGGAGTGCTGTTCTGTAAATTCAGATCGTTCTCGAGGGCTGCAGAAATCGGAGGAATCAAGAATCATGTAGGATAAGTGATTGAGTGGCGTGAACGAAGATTAGAAGGTAAGGATGTGGGAGGTTGACAGTCAGTTGAGGGAAGTTAAGTGCCGACACTTCCGAGCTGCCTACCACAGGAAACCTACGTCTTCTTCACACAAAATGAAAAAGATAGTTAGTGACCACAGAGTCCAGACGATATCTACTTAGGGCTGGCTGGCCACACACACACACACACATACACACACTCGGTCAATACATCAACCGATAAGACTCAACCGGATAGCGTTAGGCTTCACCAATCATTGCTACCATGTATTCCTCTCTCCACCCTTAGCTTCCTCCCAACACAATTCTACTCCACCTAAGGTTATACCTTCAGGTAGGCATTGGTCAGTGTAGATTCACAACTTTATCAAACTGACTTATCTTCCCCCTATACCACCTAACCTCAACAAGGATTTCAACACGTTTGAAAACCTATAACCTCATCGCGTTTTCCAATTTACACAACAATACCTCACAGTTGTACAATTCAACACAGCGAACTCCTGTCTACTGTAAACGTCATTTGATGATAACCAGTTGTATATTTGGCCGGCATCAGTGACCATCACATCCAACAAGTGCCTTGCCTTGCATACACTTCAACAAATCACTGACTGACTGAGTGATTATGTTAGGTATACTGACAACCATCAAAGACTCTCCACCACCAAATCTATTCTCCCGTCAGTTATCACATCAATACAATGATTGACTAACACGCTTAATGTGGTTACTTACACTGTTTATACATTTCAAATAAAAAACCAAACTATCCTACTCAGTAGAATATCAAAAAGTGGCTTCACATCAATCACTCGAATACAATTCACTATCAACTACTCACAAAATCACATCAACCTTCAAATGTTGACACACAAAACCAGATATAACAAAACAGATGAAAATCTTCATAAAAATCTTAGCAATAAAATTATTCATTAGAAATACTCTCAAAAGACAAAATGTTATACAAACCTCACAAAACACACACAAACTTACATTACCATCATCATTCGTGAACTGAAGACTCCATTCACTCACTGATTTCTTCTGCACCTTCACATCACGTACATGTACATCAATGTCAATCACTTCAGAATCTGCATGTAAACGCTTGTTCACTAAACTCGAACATCTACTATCTGATAGACGGATACACTTCACATCCTTATCATCATTTTCGCTTGATAAAACGAAAGTACCATCATTCTGACGTACTACTGGAGTCCCAGATAACCTTCCTTGTAGTAATTCAGTTGACGGATCACTCTGAACCAGAAAATATAAAGTCATCACATTTCACAGAACATACGATAGAATAGTAGAGAAAAAACGCTGTAGACCACAATCTATGTTGATGACAAGCATTTCACTTATCAAATAATCGAATCCAACTCAAGCCTTTCCACCTCTGTTATTTACAATGGTCAATTTCCACGAATACATAGAACAACAGTGGGATCACTCCACCACTCATTAACACACAGTCGTCTTCCAAATCATACATCAAGTCAAAAACAATCACTCGCTTCAGTCTCGCTTTCCCGGCTCTATGACACAATACATACAAACAATGAAACTAAGCCTAAACAAAAGACTCACACACATTACCCAAAATCTTCTACAAGCCCTGAAACTCACATCACGTAAACCAAACTGAGTCATCTTACAGGTCACTGTACAAACGTCACTATTAAATATCAACCACACTCACTTTTCACTATCATTTTCAAATGTTTTCTTCATCTACAATTCTGATTCATTCAGTTGCCTGTTACTCATTAAAATTCTACTTTGTCAGCACACTCTTCAATCACTAAACACTTCCTTCAACAAAACTATCTGCTAGTGCCATGTATCATTTCACTATTCACAAACCCAGCACATCATTCAGGCTGTACATCTTCAAGATCCCAGCAACCACACGCTTCATATCAGTAAACGGGTCTATGAAGCAAACACAACACCAATTTACATGCTCAACTTAGAAACCCAGTTAACCTGCATTACTGCCCTAAGAACATCAGCCGCAGTGTCTTGTGTACAACAATCAACCTAACAAGGCACAAGGTCACAGCGAACTATCAGTTCGAAAACACTACAGGACATACAAACCAGACTACGGATACCCTGGTCTTTATAAGGGACTGTGGTGACAAACACATGACGGAATTCACTAGACTCTTTCACAAGATATCAAAGTGTGCAATCTACTCTGCCTGTCCATCTTCACGCTTCAACAAACTACAATGCAATTCCACTAACTCAACCACTCTTTACATTCTATTAACACTACCCTCCTATTTATTGTCAGTTTTATTCATTTATTTCTCTCTACCCTAAGGACACTGTCACCTTCATTCATTTCATGTATAAACTGGTTTCATTTACTTGCCCAGTCTCCCTCCGTGTTGAACGAGTGGATTCTCAATTCTCACCATACATTATTTGTACATTCATTGGTCGGATCTTGTTCATTTTCTTTGTAATTGATTCAACAATTCCCCCTATACAAGCGACACATTTGAAAATATTCACTGCTTATCTTCTGATAACAATCCTCATTTACAGTACCATACGGATTCCAGCTGTTTAGGATTCCTGTGTCCACTTCCACAAAGACTCACAGCATTTCATCATTTCAAAATTAAGTCACTTCGTATTGATCTCATACGACCAGAAGTGGTAATCATCTCAAAACAAAATCAGCCACTTCATCAAATTACTAAGACAGTAATGTAAGCCTAATCTCCAATTATTATTTTTTTTCCCCATAAACAATAATAGAAACAGTTTTGTAGGCTTAACATCAATCAACCTAGTCGATGAAAAAGTAGACTAACCACAGGTGACTTCATCACAAGTGCATTTTCACGTTCAACTTTGATAACTTCACGTAGTTCAGCATTCTCCTTTTGCAGTCGTTCAATATATTCACTTGTCAATCGGGAATAACATTCGATATCTTTAACCTAGACAAAGTGAACAACAGAAGAATACAAGAATTACTCGTAAACTTCCTGATTCATTGAGCAACATGAATTCCCTCAACACGGTACATACTTCTCGCCAAGTGATGTACCAATAAGCTCAACGTACACATACTCAACAAATTTCCACTCATAACACTAAACACAATGAACTCAAGTCATACCAATCACCTCAGTGATTACACTACAAACTCGATCGGCAAACTTTTCATTAACTCTAAGAACTAGACAACAACATTAATAATTACCATCTCATAATATAATTGATATAATTTAAGACAACAACCATTCTCCTATAAAACAATCAACTCAAATAATGAAGCTTTTCTATTCCAATCTCAATCATAAACCAGTTAAAAAAATAAACTGATTTATTCAATTTGGGGATTTATTGATTCCATTACAGGTTGGCGTTCATCATTCACTCGATTCATTTAAAGAAACATTAGAAACCTGGGAAATTTACTCTACTAATTACACTAACAATATGCAAGATATCAAGGAACAAGAAACCACGATGTTGAAAGCATGTTCATATAAAGCGATTCACCAATCTATAACATGATTACACAAAAAGTTATAACCAACACTAAACCACCACCACTACTACTACTACTGCACTACTTCATCATCCAGGTTAAAGTAACTGGCACCGGTCTCAAATACAATACCCTCTCAGTTACACCACTCATATTCACGAAAACACTCTTCTTCCACTGGTGAACTAGAATTCTTCTCAAAGTTCTCTACTTCACTTCATCTCTAACCACACTCAAATATTTTAATGACCGATTAAATCTCTGCACAGATACTAAGGACTCATTTGGTTTCCACCAACTTAACCAATCGATAGCGTCACCACAATAGACAATCGTCTATTAACAGTCGAGTGTATTGTCCTGCAACTCACTCTTTTCTACTATATGCTTGTGAAACATGCAGGACGACATCAGAAGGATTCACGTGTTTCACTACAGCCGACTCTTCCTAGTGTAGGCCATGTGTCATGGTATCACCATCCCAATAATGTACAAGTCAGGTGTAGAGCTTTAAGAAGCAGAAGAAAGTCGATTGATGTGGTTGTGAACCTCCGTCCACTCACGTGGATGCAAAATCTATTACAACTGCCTACTCACTCTCTACTTCCTAGCACAATGTTGCCTGAAGTATCTTCAGCCTAGAAAAAGGCTCAGGATGACGGATTATAACATAGCGTCACTGCATCATGTCACTGACTGTTGCTTTCAGTCATCTTCGGAGATAAACACTAGCTGGTGACGATCCACATGACACCAGAACTCAGTAGCTCAGAATATATGACAGTAGCGTTGGTGTACCTACACATCATCTTCATCTTCATCTTCATCGTCATCGTCATATTCGATTCAGAAGTTTCCCATTCCTCTTTTCCCTCTCTCACTCCTTACTTCACTTCTTCACCTTTCATTCCACTGCTTTCTTAGTCACTTCAGATGTGGCAACTTAGACCGTTACGTGGTGCCAATGACTCACTTATAATATACAACACAGTTTATCAAGTCACAGTGAGTCCTGCAGCCTTTAAGCCCGGAACCTACTAGGCAGATTAACCAAACACCAATAACAGTACTAATAATAACAATGAGAACCATGTGAGCTGTTCTCTCATTTGATTAAAACGACAGCTGACTATCATTCATCTTCACCAATTAAGCTGAAAAAAATTGTGGAACAAATTTCACTTACACAACAGTCCTCTCCTTTCACATTATTACACCTAACAGACGCCTGTAGTGTAGGGTCCAGTTTCTGAAATACCAATACATCAAAGGGTTAAACTTGTCCATAACTAACCACTTAATAAATTATGATAAATAATTAACCATTCCTTCTACCATTATACAGGGACACCCTACTCCTAGTCAATAATTAAGCAACATTCACAAGTCGATGATTTCACCAGATGACACCAGCAACAACTGTGATCAAACAACCACATCGTTTAGGCTCTTCACTAATCATTTTACATACAATCTGATAATCGTTCAACTTGATTGACTTCACGTCAGTCTATCAAGATCGAAGAAAATAAGACGAAGTACTCCACACCCTCCATTTCCATAACAAAATAATAATTTCATAGTGATGATTCATCATCTTCCATGGAGAATCGAATACCTGTTGAAATCTAGAAAGGCAAAGTCAGAAGTTGCCGCACATCTTCTCTTCCCTTAACATAGTACATTTCTAGGAGAAATACGAAATTCAGCAGTCTCATCTTGTGCGTCTCCAGTAAAAACATAAATACAAAAGTGTTAACAGACTAATTACTGGAATTCTAGACTCAGTGATCAATCCAGCCATCAACATCTTTCGAATTTCTCAGCAATATACATACTCACCACAACTCACTGCTGACAGTTTTAGCATCGTAAACAGATTTCCATATCACTTTTCCTGATTCCATGTAGACACACACACACACACATTATGATACACCATCGTTCATTTCATGACGTCTCATGCAGAAATCACCAATCACCAATCATTCATATCCCAGTAATCATACAACTTCAACCATATGACTTTTATGCTCTTATTGTGTCACAACGTATTCTCTCCTCCTTCTTCTTGGTTATTATAAAACTTTCCACTGTATCTCATACTTATCTCATGTATTCAACGTTCATTCGATGAACACATATTATGTAATCAGCCTGTCTACCCTACCCTATCCTTTCAATATCTCTTTGCATAGCAATTCAGTATTCTTGTCAAACAATCAAACTATCCAATGAAATTGTAGATGAGATAACCAAATCAAAAAATTCAAATGAAACTGGGGGGAAAACATGTGTAATTTATTTCACTGGGTAATCAACTACCACTATTCCAATCATGCTCACAATACTCCATCCTTCCTGAAACCTTCATATGTTCAGCATACACAAATTCAGAATAGAAATATCCTTCCTCACCTACACCTTTACAGCAGAACAAAACTACACAAACCAGACAATCCTCTACGACCAATTACCTCCATTCACAGAACTTCAACTTCAACTTCAAATCTAACCAAACGCCTTTCGAGGAAATTCAAATACATTATGCCACTCAGAACGACACTCCAATGATTCACTGACACACAAATGAACAAAGACATTAACATGCAGAACAATGAGTTGATACTATTCTTAGATGTCACACAATTATACACATTAACCAAACCACAAATGGCCAAATATACTATCTCTCTACAACACACTCAAGACATATAAGTCTTTCAGAACGTACAAAACTTCAATCTTCAAATACGATGAAACGCATGATTCTTCATCTCACAACATACTCCAAAATTTAACATCAAGACATACAAACAAGTGAAAGCAACTACAATGAGATCACTCATAACCCACAAACAGTCATACAGACACTACACTGGAAGCCATCATCTTACTGGTCAGCAAATCAATACTTCGATCCACTATGTACACGATACTTCTCTTACCATTGAAAAAACCTGATTAAAAAAATACTCACAGTTTCATCAACAACATTTTCAAAGAAACCAGATTGAAAAATGGAGAAGGAGTCGAAGAAACAACACACACACACACTCATCAAATCCTCAACTACACTAACAACACACAACATTTATTGCCCTAGTCTACACACTCTATTCAAAAAAGCTAGAACACACTACAGTACAACAACTTCATGGAAAAACGAACAAAATCACGTCACATCTATGCCAAAGAAGAATAGTTTATCCACGACACTTTATCAGAAGACACCAATCCCGTCCATCATCAACCACACAAATCAATAAACACATCATCCTACTAGACATAAAGAACATACAGGAAGAGATCACAACAAGATTACTCAGACCACTTGCAATCGGTGTAACTCATAAACTAACAAATCCCCTTCATACCATATCATGCACACCAAACGACGCAAGTATCATTTACAGTATCAACTGCAACAACTGCCATCAACTCGACATTCGACAAAGTGCTCATCATCTTCCACTTCGTTTACAAGAACATCACATTCTCTTACTCATTTCAATCCACATGGATAACAACCATAGGGATATCAATTCAATTTTCACAATGACAATGTCTTCCACGGAGAGACAAAACACAAACAATATCACAGAATTCCTACAAGTTTACGATCAATCTCACTTACCAATCCATAGATGTATAGAAAAATGATAATCAAACAAAAACGTCAGAGATCAGGCAGGCAAACAACCAATAAGAAAATCTTTCCCATCAATCACACAATAATTAAACAAAACAAACAATCACAAACCAGTTCATCACAACAAACTTCTGAATCTCACTCATACTGACACCTCCCTCCATATTCAACTCAGTCTTGATGATGTTGTCGACAAACAACATCAAAGCTTCACGTTTAAACCACACACAGTTCAGAGAACACAACACAACACAATACAAAGTTGACAATACACCTTTGACAATCTCATTCACTGCTTCACCATACAATAAACATGGGGGTTCAAGGTAAACCAACAGAGAAAACAGTACTGCTGATATACTACTACTAATACTACTCCCCACCCTACAACATCTTACAACACTACACAAAACCATACATACAAAAAATTCTATTCATAGATGCATATATGTATACATATATACATACTTTCCCTAAGGTGCTTCAACATGAAACCAAAGATGATAAACAACCACACAAGTTGCAAAAGTCCAACAGATTACACATATTCACCAATCTCTAAGATTACAGACGATCATCATGCGATCCAATCCACACGATTCAACTCGAATAGATACTAACACAACGAATAGAAGACAAGAAAGCACTTACATCCTCACTCTACACTATATTAAACATGCCATCTTGTCTCACCAGATTATATCTCCTCCACAGTATAAAGCCTGTTCTCATATATAACAGTACTTATGGAAGACAACTATTCAATATAACCATCAACGCATACAGATTATGGTAGTGAAGTCATACTTTACCCAATTTACTCCATCCACTTATTTCCAAGGACAGATTCGATTATACTACAAACAACTGGTCAGAAACTTTGTCAATTATAAACTCTCACTAACTATAGGGCACAGTCAAAGTTTTATAACATTACACAATATAATATTACACAAAATCTGAAATAATAATCATAATAATGTAAGGATACCCATTTTACATACCGTAAACGAATTCACACTTGAGGCAAGTACAAGTTGGAGAGCCGCTTGTAAACTATTGTTTTCACCTTGTAATCGTTCAATACACTCACTTTTAGCTTCCAGTTCGCTTTTTACATCACACAACTGAATCAATTCACACAAACATACACACAATAGATAAAAGAAACGACATAATAATAATGACAATAGCAAGACAGAACAATTTAACAAATCTATACTTTCAAATTAACCTCGCCCGGCCAACTAGTTCACTAGTTACTACCCGGTCCTAAGCCCGGGTAAACAGGGAAGAGTGGGCAAAGGGCTAGCAACCCTACACCAGAAAACAAATATAACCGCTAAAAAAACTTTAAAGCACAAACAAAGTATAAAACATAAAAACAATATCATTCCTCGCTGGAATCCGACAGGCAAAATGACGCCGGTGGGTGAAAGCCTTCCGGAGGCCAATTCGCCCATGTGTCCTCTCTTCTCTCTGTGAGACCGAAAGTAAACGTGGGGACATGGAATGTCCGCACTATGTTTCAACCTAGCAAGGCTGCCCTCATTGTAAATGAGATGAGAAGGCATAGCATTGAAGTCTTACGAATCTCCGAAAGTAGATGGAATGCGAGTGGACTCTCCAAACTGTCAACTCGATAGTCAATAACTACTCCGACATTGTCATCCATACGACAACCACTAGCACAATGAGTTCTGGAGTGGCTATCATGATGTCCCCAACAGCATCGAAGTAATAAAAACAGAATTCGAAGGTGACAATGTAGTCGGCGTTGCTGATAAGAATGGATATAAGTAGTGTGCATATGTTAAGAGGGTGGTAGAAATTATAGGAAATTACCACAAATCGGTAACAATCCTGTCCAGAAAAACGCAACAGACAACGCCAGCGTATTAAGAACAAATCAAGACAGAAGTAGAAGACGAAATGAAGCACATTATTCAAATGATCCTCTTACTGCAAGGTCTACCACATGCATAACTTCCTTCGTCTCTATCTTCTCGTTCTCTTCAACACAATCACCTGCTGACTGCAAACTCTATCCCTCTCTACCCATTCATATGTAATCAATCCATGAAAGTAGACCGAATCATCTCATGCTCAAACTCATTCAATGCAGTAAACACTGATTCATCTCTCAATTCTAAACTATTGTGAGGACTAACAACAACAACAACATACAATCAATTCACTAAAGTTAGTCATGGCATTCCCACTCATTTCCAATCTCACTTATACCACATTTCATAGGAAAATAGTTGAAGGTGAAGACTGGTTGTTCATCATAGGAAATCAAATCGACAGGGTATAACACGTCTAATCTACACAATATTGGAACATTGTCAAAAAATGTAGATCGCTGATGGAAGTCAAATTTCAGACACAATAACTCCTTCATCATATACATTAGCATCGAGCTGATCTCCACTCAAATTAAACCAATAATCCCAGTTGAATAAACAGTCAATCCCCACACACACACACACACACACACACACACACACATCATCCTACCTACACCTTCTGACTTAATCCTCAGATAGTTACACTAATATTCGACTGAATCCCCCTCAACTAAATTGATCAAATCATCTTATGAATGACATTATAACCGAATCAATCAAGCAAGTCTTACACGTTTATATCACTCCTACTGCATTCATCTACATGACCGTCTTTTTCTCAACTTAATTCTATCAATCCAACATAAATCAAATGAGATACATCAAACAAACAAATAAACATGATAAACATTCTCGTCTACAACACACACACACACACATCATCATCATCATCATTTCACTTACATTCTCCTCACATTTCGAAAATTCAACCGAATAGTTTCGACGCAAATTTTCTAATTCTTGTCTTTGTGCAATCAATTGCGTGTCCAAATCTTGTAGCTGAGCCTCCAAATTTATATTCGACACTTTAGACAATGTCGCCTATCGAATAAACACACAATTAATCATCAAGATACTAATCACAACATGACAAAATTAATTAACATTGTCATCTATCTCTAGGCAATCAGCAACAATGTACACACAACTTAAGACCAATAGTGTGTTCATCATTACAAAATATCGAATCAAAATCCACTCAATATTCTTGTCCACACCTGTTGTGTGATGCCCAATGACACTACATGCCTGCACAAACCTTGACACATACAGTAAATCCAATAACTCTCACAGTCACCTACTCCGATTACAGAATAATATCTTCTAATCACAGTCTTCCATGGAGTAATGCACACTTACATGTGCCTAACTTATTCACACCACATATCATCACCATGATGATGATGATGATGATCAATGTTCGACAGAACGCATAGATACTCTTGGCAAAAATGCATGAGAATTAACAACGATGCACACAACAACAGTCAATTCGTCGTCAGTACACTTTCAAGCCTATCTTGTAGGCTAATTGTCTACACACCGAAGACCTAAACATCAAATCACTCACAAAATACCACAAACTCAATTCATATCATTACATGTTCAATGAATCAGTCCAATCAACCAGTCCCCAACAGTGAACAAACACCTGTCAATAACACTACTCAATGTATGTGGCAATACACCACCTCCAATCACTACTTTCAATAATTCATACAAAAAGGCACTTCGTTCTATACAAGAGCATACTTCATTGCTGAACACCTCTCGTTCACAATCATAAATATGCCTTACATTCTATGCTGACAGTTTACTTATCCTAATACAGTCGGTCCACATACATTCTTGAATAATATATAACACAAACTCGGATAAACACCTCCCAGAAATCTCCCCCAACTCAACTTATACGGCAAGTTAAAAGAGGTTGACAAAATCATTCATGCCTTTATGAATTAACAAATAAACAAAATGCAGGACCAGGTATTCCTAACCCTTATATCAACACTTCCTTTAATCCTCACAGTGTAAACTAGGCGACAAACATCAACGGCTCTCTATCCCCTCTATTGTCCTAATCCCTGTTCATCATGTTTCATAATTCATCAACACCAAATATAACCCCATTTCATACGTACATGGACACTGCGATTATGTCCAATAACCAATTTCAACTAGCACACATTTCCTTCGTAACCATGAATCCTATGAAAATGAATGAAGAGTCAATAAAACGTTCTTTAATCGTATAACAATTTTATTCTTCCTATCGAGGATGAGTTCATCAAACTCATTACTGGTTCATATGCTCACTCAACAACTACATACAATCACCATGGTGCAACACATACTTCCTGATTTATCAAGTCAACATAAACTAGAGTAGATTTCAAACGTATCAGTCAATCACTGGAACTCACAAACAACAGTTCTACATCGTCAACGGATCAACTGCTTACACTTCATGACTTACTTAATTGCTTCACACACCTGACTTCCAGGTAGACGGTTCTCAGTTGGAATCCCTCTACATCTACTGCCCAACTGGTAACCAAATGGTGTCACACGTCTTCATACACTAAGCGTGTCCCATCCACCTACCACATAAAGCTATACCGCATGCGTTGCATCATATTCATTATTAACACTTAGTTATTCAAATCTAGTTACCTGATACTCAGAATTACAAACACTTATAACTGGTATGTCTATAAAAAGCATTTATCAGGAGAAACCTGACTACACAAACCTTTTTCCAACTGCCTTTCACCAAAAACACAATAACAACACAAAAGAACTGAAAAACTATGCACAAGAAATCTCAACACACCACCTGTATACCATAGGATAGATCTGTTTAACAAACTGACACCTTTGTACAACTTCATAACTAACCCAACAGAACTCGACCAATTCCACCCACTATACTAATAGGAGGTTACAAGTACCAATAAACAACAACTGATATCCATTACACAAGTGATGTCTCTCGTCGCCAGTGACAACGCTTTCGCATTTGAAGCCATGGATACTACGTTCACGTCGTCTCTCTGGGAACAACAACACTCAATGGACTACAGCTCCATCCATTTAACTAACAAATGACCCACAAATACGACGAAGCGCGTGTCCTGCTGCCCACCAAAACCATTACAACATAATGAGCAGTCAAGCGCTATCGAGGAGTCCACCTACAAGCCCATCTTCCAACACACACATCAAGAAATTCAACCCACTACACAAATGCCAGATCACAAGGATCAAACAACAACGTTTCGCAAAGGCCCTACGACAATAACTGCTAAAAACGTTTGATCTACTTTCCTTCGTAGCACTTCACTTCACAGTTCGGGCCATCTCAACTTAAAGGGGTCGACGGGTGAAAAAGGCTCTCTCACACACACACACACAACAGTTTAACACATAAAGACTCACCTGTTTAAATAAATACTTCAAAGCTATACGCGCCTCTTGAATACTGTGCAGTTGGGACAGGTGCGACGACAGCATTTGACCACTTACATCCGCTGCACAACTCCCATCCGTCGAACATCGTTCACCTGCATCCATCAGTTTCTGTTGAAGATCACCTATCTGTTGTGTTTGCGATTGGATTGTCTCAGTCAAACTCCTCACTTCATCAATATACACTTCATAAGCTTCACCTTGCTCTCGACAATCTTCAATTTTCGACTCTATTACACGAACTTGATCACAAAGCGTTTTACGTGATTCAATAAGATTGCTTAAATGATATCTAGCCGCACCCATACTCACCTGCATGTCCAAATCCATTTTAACCCAATTTCGAACATGTGAAGCTAAATCAACCTTACTAAGTATATAAACAATAAGCAACACATACACACAAACTTAGAAATCAGCTTACAACATCTTCAAAAATCACACAGCACATTTAACACTACAAAATACTGAACCACTAACAATGACTTTCAACTACGATCGACCATAAACCATTATTCAGTGAATACACAAGGTAAAAACATCTCATTAGACGATCGAATAACCCTGATAAAATATTCATCAAGTACACCAAGACTGATTGACTCTCAAGCTGAACTCCACCTCCAACTCCACCTTCACCTTCACCTATTTCAGTGTCGTCTAATCGGGCAGTATTGCGATCCCTCTCACACACATCAAGTAGACTTCACATAATCTAACATCATAACATTTGAAACACCTAGAATCGAATCAAAATGTACTCAGCAACCTTGTGTAGATTCATGCAGTGGGCAATAACCTACACCTATTGTGTCATGGCTAGTGATACAATTACATGACTAACCAAACATCAAAATGTACAGCAGAGCTCGAACCAGCAACCATCTACCTAAACCAATAAGTCACCGCTCCATCCAGACAACTGAATAACTTCCAAACACACAACTTTTCTAATTCTATCACAAAAAGAGGATAAAATGAGAGTAATTTATACATTCGGTGAAAGCTCAACGAATTTACAGACAATGAATCAACAACCTACTGTTGCGGATAACATAGGATCAATATGGAAAAATAATAAGTTCTCACCCTTTACGAATGGTCAAACACCACACACTTTTGTAGTCTCAGTTGGTCATCAATCATCAAATTCACTTATTCAACTGCCTCTAAGCACATTATTCACAATATCCACCCAGTAATATAACAAAACATGTGTCAAAAGGCTTCGAAAACAGCACTCATCAACTCCAAACAGCATCCTACAATCGCATCCCCACCCCACTCCCATATCCTTCCACCAAAATAATCACTTCCCAATAGAATTTCACCAATTACCATACACCACATATCTTAAACTTCAACATGATTATTGCACTCTAAGAAGTGAACATCAAATCTACCTTAATTCGCCATCGTTAAATTTCACTGACTCTATATGAAAGTGAAATAGTTTAAACATCAACACTATTACAAAAAAAAAAGATGTCAGGTGAGCTGTACTCATCGAGTGGTCTCCATCAAGGGTGACCACTCTCTCCAGTCTTATTCAATTTTATTACAGATATTCTTATGGAGGTCTCCCTCTAGTCACATGATTACACAGACGTTGACCTACTCACAAGAGAATTTTCGTTACACCGAGAATATGCAGATGACATTGTCCTGTTACGTTAAGACGCTGACAAGATTCACAGTCTTCTGAACACTTTGAGTAGCAATTTGAGAATGTTTCCGATGCGTTTCTCACTACCTAAATGCAAATTGCTGCTCCAGGATTGGTCTTCAACAGTGCCACGGCTAACAATAGACAGTGAGGTGGCTGAGTGTGTTCACCATTTCACTTACCTGGGAAGTAGGATCTTCCCTGGTGGGTCACTTCCCGATGAAATCTGTGCACGGATACAAAAGGCTCGATTGGCTTTCACCAACTTATGCCACCTTCGCCTTCGTACTATAGGCCACCGTCTTCCGTGGTGTCACCATGTGAGTAATGCAGAAGTCAGGAGTAGAGTTTTAGGGAGAAGAGGTAAGTCGGTTGATGAGATTATGAACCTTCATCGACTGACATGGCTGGGACACGTGTCACGTATGCCTAGTCTCCGATTACCTACCTCATCACACAATGTTGGCCGAAGTAGGTCCACACTGGAAAAAGGCTCGAGATGGCTAGACTAAAATATGGCACTAATGCATGAAGTCTCGGACTGTTGGCTTGAGCCATGTGGGACGATGCAGACTAGGTGGTTGGGGTCCATAGGACAAGAGGAACCTGTGACTGGAGACTCTAGGTGATATGGCTCAGAACCACTGTCAGTGGTGTAGATGTATCCGCACACACACACACATTCATTATCCTCACCTTAACGATGTTGTACCGAATCTCACCATTTTCTCTCTTTTCGTACTTCATATCTCCTTTGACTGAATTATCTTTTCTTCATCTTGCAACTCACTGCCTTTTTACCTGATCTACTGATATCACGTGTGGCAACTCGGACCGTAACACAATAATCTCTGATCCTAGGTTGATCTGGATGGATGGGTGGACTATTACAAAAACAACAGAGAAAATCCTTGATCAAACAATAACTCATTGAATCAAGCAGTCGACTGACTGACCTCTAGTCACCGCTATTCAATTTCAATTTAGTTTCATTGACATTTCACCGGCAATATAATTTCACTGCTGCTCTCTAGACAATACACACATTCTGAACATTTCACCTTTACACTGATGACAATACACTGAAAAGCTGCAATTCTACACCACCCCACCCTTTAAAAACATCATTCCACACTCACATGATTTCCAAACTACCACAATCAGATATACAATTTGTAAACGAATACAAACCAGTATTAGACAATATTCCACTTTAACCAGTCAGTGTCAAGTAACGCATAATTAACATATGATCAAAACATACTCTGCTACATTCCATCGTGTTTTACGGTTAGTCAGCAACAAACACACCATCCATTAGTCACACAACTAAACACTTAGAAGAACACATTAGCTATACCAACTGATGTCTTCTTCGATATTAAAACTACCAGACATATTAAGACTAGCCAGACACAATCAGCTTAATCAGTTGAGAAGATGGAAAATGAAATAAACAAAACATCATTCCACGTAGAATAAAACTATCACAAGGAATTGATACACACATACTTTCCTTCTCTACTCAACAAACATTTCCCTTCAGAACTTATTCTCTCACGTATAAAGATTTCACACGATTCACTTCATACAAAACACACATCTTAAGAGCCCTTTCATTCAACACTAACCTCACTGGAAAGCTTACTCAAATCTATCTCATGATCACATAAAACTATTGCAGGTAAAACTAAGACAATCACTTCAACATACAATAGAACAAACCAAAAAAGAAAAATTGTCACCAACCCTTTTGTATTATTTGACTGTGATACACGTTTATCACGTTCCTGTTTCGAATCTTTCTGACGTAATAATAATTCCTTAAGTCGACGCTCAGCAGCTGCTGCAGCTTCAACACGACGTCTCAGTACAGCCTGCTCACGTTCATGCATTGACATCATACGAGACATTTCATACTGAAGACGACGATCATTTTCTTCAAGTCTTTTCACCTGTAGCATAGTATAGTACAATTGTATGATAACCAGTGAACATCATTCGAAAACATAACAATAAGCAAAACCGCTCATTTATCAATACGTGCTATGACTGACTATCACACACACACACATGAATCATCAGTTAAAACTTCAAACGACCAATAGAAGTTTACGCAGTCATAAAACATGTGGTGTATCACATCATGCTAGCTACTGCATGTGGTCGCTCAGGGACAATAATGCATGTCCACTCCCATTGACAGATAAGCACAATTGCACTGAAATCTATACACCTTCAATTAATTTGCCTACGCCCCCATCCCTGTCAACACACAAAACTCACTCATCAAATACCCTACGTCAACAATTTAACACTGATCAAGTAAGGTCAAAATTAAATTATCTTCACATCCAAGTTCCTTAACTTTATATGAATTCACAATGACTATCCACAAACTTACACCTTCACAGATTTCCTTCACAACATTATGGAGCACGGTGCCAACACACAAAATCAATTTACAACAATGCAAACAACGGATTCGATTCAATCTGCCATAATTCACACAACCATTTACAGAATAAGTAGACTTTTAAAAAAAAAACCATATCAAACTAGACAAAGTTGTATGGGATGGAAAAATAATTTCACGACAAAGGTGACTGAATATCTTCATGTTTTGGAACACATTAAATAGCAAGTACATCTGTATCATCGTGGTAGACTTTTCACCATCTCACTCTGCAACCAATGATTCCTAGGTCTCAGGGATATCAGTCAAGTAGTCTACACCTTCCCACACAATTTCAATCAACACTTACACACTTCATGCACTCGTCGTTCAAAGTCTTAATCTTAACAAACTAATCCAAATTCTAACAGCATAGCACGTCCAAGTAGGTGGTGGCTTCACATGCGCAACGCCTTAGTCAACGAAGGTCAGCGACCAGTCCTGAACAACTATCTCCCATTTCACAGATGCCAAACCCATTCCAAACATACTCAACTCATTCACAACACCCTACATTTTTTCAGCAGCTTCAATTTCTTCCAAATACTCAAAGTCAACGACACGTCATACAGACAGTAAGCCAAACCCCATAAAATCAGGGACACTCAACGTTATGCTCACTAACCAGAAAGGGCAACTACAGGCATACATGGTCCCATTGAGAAATCCAATCCACAGTAAGATCATACGGCACTATCAATAAGACATTCCATATTACATTCGCTGACTTGATAAACACCACACAGCATTATTTACTTACTGACAACACTTCAACTATAAATTATCATTCCTCACAATCATCATATGAGAAATTAACTGGAAGTAGAAACCAAAGAGCAAGAGAAACACAACCACCAACCAACCTCATTCTCCTTTTCTTTACGCCATTTACGATAAACAGCACTCTCTTCTTTCAACTGTCTAGCTGATCGAATCATTGACGCTTTCAGAGATTGAATTTCACCTCTTAATCGTAAACATTCAGCTTCTCTAGCTTCTTTGGCTTTCTTTAAACGAGATAATTCACTCAATTGACGTCGTGCTTGCATTAACTCCTGCTCCATAGCCTTCAACACTCTTTCACGTTCAATTTTAGACCTGAAAACATTTCGAAAAGTATCAGCAACACATATTCATCATCTATGCTAACTTTAAACAATACAAAAGATACACATTAGACAATGAGTTCCCTCACCAACTAATTTAATGCAAGAAACTCCACCACACGTCCTCCATATATCACACCTTGCTGAACGTGATAAAATGGATAGCGACAGTGACGAAGTATAACACAGACACAGTCACTTCACAAAACACACAACTACATCTTACCATCAAATAAAAATCACCTTTCTCATGCTATTCACCCTAAACCTTTCCACAGAGAAAAATCAAAATGCACATTTATATAGGTAGTAGGATTAGAAACAAAGTTGTGTATCATATGTTATTACACTCTCCGAAAGCATTTCATATCTCGAAAGACATCTACCAACACTATCATTTCGAATTCAGGTGGTCAGTGCAGACAGTAGCAAGAACAAGGTCTCACATAGTCTGTGCAAATCAATCCAGTATCAGTCAACACCATATCATTAAAGCAGCCTACTTCTCCAACTTCTTAATGGTGCATATATCACCAGTGAATAGGTGGAGCTTCACAATAACTGAAAATACTCTTCACCAAAAAGCGATCTGGGGTTATGGAACGATAAAGTTATTGCAACACAGTGTCAAGTAAACAATCCATAAGATGATAAAACCTGACACCACATATCACTGCTCACCTTCTCTCTTAGGTTCGTAGCAATACCAAGTCATACACCAAAAGGTTGCAGGTTAAAAACTTCGTCGACAGATATTGACAAACACAAACCAGTGGAAAGATCGTATAAACTACTGTCCTATCATCACTGTGGATTTCAGCAAAGTCAGCACAACAAATTGTGCAGAACACGATGAATTTCATTCAACTGCCTACAGCCTACACATCATAACACATATAAATATGCAAAGCGAGAAAATACAATCCACATAATTCACTTATCAACAAGATCATGATCTATGCATGACATAACCAAGGAATTGACACAGATTAACGAAGTTCAAATGACATAATTCACGACTACTAGAATAAAATAGTTATCTTATGTTTATGCACTCACACTGTCATCTTCCTACATATGACCAAAGTGTTCACACTACATCAATACAAAGTCGACACATTTCCACCTCATCCCACCTCAAATTGTATCTACCAATTCAAATCCACATGTCACAGCATATACACTAGAAAGACAGACAGAGTGCGAGGCCGACTGAGACTACATTGGTAAACATATCTCACATAAGTTAAGCTTAAAACAGTCACAGTCGCTTCAAATTTCAATCACTAAACATCTGATGGACACACGACATGACGACTAAATCTCCAAAGCATTTACAATAAACAACAACAACACAACAACAAACAAAACAATCCTAACTTACTAAGAATAACACAATTTATTCCCATCAGAACAATTAAACCTAACTCATGCATCAAATAAACGCAGTTGTAAGCCTCCAACTTACACAGTACCCAATTGAGTTGTTTCTTCATTCAGTATAACCACTTCCAAAATTCTCTCTCTACTTTTATCCCCCCTTTCACAAGGAATTCCTATAACATCTTCACAAGTTTACTACTTCACATTAAACCATGCAAAAACAATTCTCACTTTATACTCAACTCATCACATTCACCTTCGTAACACTTTCTATTCCACCCAACTCCTATTCCTCACATTCAGCAAGATGCCAGTCTCACTACATAAACAAAGATATCACTTCCATTTTAGTTATCGTGAATTACTTCATTACAACTTCCATAATCTGTACCAATACACCTCCCTTATGTCATCAATGGACCACCATCATCTTGATAACTGAATTATGACCATCGAACTTCTCTCGCCTTCATATAAATCTTGTGATTTCATAGCCTGTAGTATGCAGTTGAAAAGAAGGCGATGAAATACAACAAATTCATCGTTTCCTGCAAAATTTATTGCTCGACCTTTAAACAGTACCAATCCGATGAAATAATCGTGGATGCCAACATGAAACAAAATCATCCTCAGTCAACACAATAACATTCCAATCATCTTTTTTCAAAATAACAAGTAGAAATACCTCAAGATGAGCATGTCTCCTTCTCTCACATCTGCTCGACACAACATACACTGTCAAAGTAGTAACCCATCGTTACTCATATATCATCTCCTATCCACAGAAGTCAGGCAACAGCGAAATACAAATACAAAAAGGTTACTCACATCGAAAACAGTAAAACTTCACATGATAATACACACATACGCGTTATAACATACTCTTTCAAATCTTCATTCTTCTGTTCACTCACAAGTCTCCTCTTCTCCAACTCCAAATCTCTAATACGTGATTCCAACTCACGCATTTCACACTCATATTTTCTCAACAGTAAACAGTACGACTCTTCACCTTGTTCTCCAGCAGTCTCCAAACTCCTCAAAAGATCATTTTTCTCGCGTATACTAGCCTCAATAGTCTCAATACGCTCTTTACATTCTAACCTCCGTACACGTAGTTTACAAACCCATCCATCTAAATAAAATACAACAAAGATAACTTTATTTCACAGCTTAAAGTAAAACTATACATGCTATCCACAGCTACAAAATCTACAAGTAACTACATACAACAACCGAATTGAAAAATCCTAACCAATACACTTAGAATAGTAACCGACCAACATACACCTACAACACATAAAACCAAACTAAAGCAACAATCTCTTCGTGAGGAGTCAATTCAACGAAATAAGTCATTTCCCAGTCGTCCAATCTTAAAACCGATGAACAGCCGATTACACTGTGCACCAACAACACTGAGTATATAGCAAAGAACCAAGTCACCATTGGACATAAGTCAGTCAGTCAGTCAGTCACATAAACTTATACAAGCTGTGATCCGGATATCCCTCACAAATAACTAGTCAAGGTCTTATGCAACATGTAACACCAGTTAAAAGAAGATTAGGTTGAAACAACAACGATAAGGTCTCTAAACAAGGAATCACTCCATTAGACTCGTCGTCTTTTCATCTCAGCTGTATAGTTAAGGAAGACTAACAAACAGGGAATGTCGACATACTAATCAACATCACCAGTTAAACGTCTAAAAAAATATACTTCAAAATCAATATATTCACTAAAATCTACTCACTACTCTCCATCATACCCCTCCACCTCCTCCCCCCCTCTCCCCCCATAGGCTTCATTTATCCATTATATTAACCCATCCATTGATCTGTCAGATAACTAACAGACAATTAAAACTCTAAGAGATGTACTAACTAACAAACCATTACACATCACAAACTTATTCAACCAGTGTCTGAACTATACGATCAAAATATGAACACTGTGGTTAACCCAAGTGGGTGTAACATCGAAACAAGGTTAAAAGTGATCGAACTAAAACATAGGATCACTTCGTGAAGTCCCTCACTACTGATCTCACCTGACCTCTGTAAATAAACATAGACCTACTGAACACGGTTTATGTGTAAAACGGAATCCGAGGTTGAACACTCTACATGTCATGACTCGGAACCATATCTGCATCTGTCGTGCAGCTACAACCACACATCACCATCATTCATTATGGTTTCATTCCTCTGTGTTCCCTTCTTAAACATTTTTACCACTCTTGATAAATTTCTTCCCGACCTCCTATCTTTCATCTTACCGACGTCTACCAGGTGTGCCAAGTCCGATCGTTACACACTATAGTCAGTCCCAACATTCAGCCTAACTCGATTACTGACAATACTTTAGCAATAATCCTACACACCCACACGTCTTCGTACAAGCAAAATAAATAAATACATTACAAACACCCCCGCACCCCACCCCACGCCCCACACCGTTTAACAGACAACAACTCTTGCAAAATCACTCACTTATTACCGATATGAAAAGGATGAACAATAATCATTCTGTCCGTAAACCATCAACAACAAAAATACACAAAATAAAACTTAAAAACCCTAACCGCAACCCTAATCCATATCCATCCGACATTCAGTCATTACCTATTGTATAAGGCTCAATAAATCCAGTACCTGGAATAAAACACAGTCACACACTTCCATTGAGAAAACTTTTAATTTAAAAAGTAAGTGAAATACCACATACAATTAGTCAGTTGAAGGGGCAATGACATTGCATAGACACTGAATGGCAACCTTCACGTGTATACAACAGTTCTATTCTACTATGACGACTATTACATACTGGAAGCATAATTGACAGATGGAATAAAAACAATAACAATGCTCAGAAGCTGGTCTCTATAAATATAAACAGAATTATCCTGTTCACAACAAAACCTTCAAATCAACAACACCAACTACTTCTTACTTGAAAATCCATTCAACAATGTTTATATGCATGCATCAATATACACCTTCCCCTCTCTCACTGCACCTAACACAACTATTTTCATCATTAAAAATCATCAGTAAACCACCCTAAATCAATCGATACATTAGTTTCTTCTTGTCTACATTGTCATAAATCAATCCCAGAGAAATTATCATCACGATTAATCAAGACATTGAATACAAATAATCACCTAAGTGGATATAAAAATTTCTTACCAACAACTTGCAACTTGCCTATATCACTGCCTTTCACATTCTCCTTGTTCCCGTTACTCTTAATGATATCCTCTTCATTATTCCTCTCTAATGTTGTCTTCACAAATTCACTATCCTCCATACCTAAACATGTATGCAGTGAATTAACCTCAGCCAGAAAATCCGAAGACTGTTTATACGCATGCTCTATATCCTCGTTTGGTATCTGAAGCGAAAAGATTTTTTGGACAAAAAATAAGTGAAATGAATTATTCTCACTGTCAGATATTTCTACTTCGAAGTCTACAAAAGTCTAAGATGATCATCATCATCAGTGATCAAAGTCTGTCACATATGTGGTCACTGGTTCGAATCCGACTGCGGTCCAGATTTTCATCTCACCTTCAACCATCACCCACCACAAATAAACGAATAGTCATAAGAACATACACACACACACACACACACAACATTAAACCTCATATTAATAATCAGGGGTGTACACTGTCACATTTTATGCCAGTACACACCACACTGGTGATCACAAAATCTACAAACAAATATTACAAGACCAAATGAGACGAAGAGAATCAAGTTAGGTGGGACTACAATCGGCATGAATATAAGCTATCAGTGTAACTATCTAAACCGCTGCAATCCATTTCTGATCAACAGTCGATACCGATTAGGAAACTAGAAAACAACCAACTACTGCAGAAAATGTAACCCGCTCAAAGGTAAACTAAGCTTTAGCATATACCACAACCATCTCAAGAGACTCGGATGATGAAATTCATAACCGACTAACAAACTTACACTCACCACTCAATACACTCCCTGACAAGATGGTGCTTACTACATAAGCAAGTCATACACAACAGTGATACAGTAGTAAAACTATCTAAAATACTCCACATACAATAACCATGTCTCATATCCATGGAGTAGGGAACCGAACTACTTGCTGTACAGCTCACTCCATTTACACAACATATCTCAATATCTCATTGATGAAAGCGTGCAAGAACAATTCACAGCATGAAAATGAGAAACACATCCCAAACATTCTACAATCAAAAGGCTTCATATGTTGTCAGCGTCTTCTAACAGGATACAGTCAATTGAATACTTTAGGAAAAGTACATCAATCCCTACAAACTTACAAGAAGGAGAAATGATCAACTATACTATGTCTATAATGAAGTCAAACAGAAATGAAGAGAAGAAGAAATATCTGACACATACACAGTTCACTGGGTCGACTGATATAAAAATCGAATGCACTACAACCGAATTTCAGTATTTTAACCCATAATTCCTCAACTGAAGGGCTAAGTAGTGAACGATAGTGAACTAAAAAAAAATGACTGACATGAAATGCATATCGACATCTACTTCGTGCATCCCCACAAAACTAACATCCAGCATCCTCATATATATAATGAAATTAAATACGAGTTTAGGCCGACTACTGACATCAAGCAATTTAAGAGTGAGGTGAATAAAACCCACCAATGACAATCGACGGTGTTCGCGCTACAGAAGTACGACAATGTTGACTAACGAATTACAACCCAACACCTGAAAACTAACATGTTCACAGCACAAAAACTCGATGACTCTGGGTTCACACACCCAAACAGGGTTGTGGGAGCGCATATTTGAGGAGAGTTGTCTAGTGCTTACACATTTCCAATGGCTTTTGCCTGATATCAATTCGTGATCAAAACTACCTAGTAACATCAACTTTTATTTCCAATCGGTCGGGAACAACCTCCTGAACATTCATACAGTAGCCAATGAGCCACACCCTTTCTGTGATATCTAACAAAACATCGATAGGTAGAGCATGGCTCAAACCCGTCATCTTCCTAACCCAATGACCCACAGCTTCATACAACAAATCACCGAAAACATAGTAGGAATAAACAAATCACAAATCACATACTTCATTGCCTTCTGATGGACACAGTCGTTTAATTTCTGTTAAAATATCCTCCAAATCTCCAATACAGCACATCATTTCAGTATTCCCATCTAGCTTCTTCTCAATTAAATATTTCAAAGATCTAAGGGGAATAAACAGTTCACTTAAACAACGAAGAGGCATTCCCATCTTACCCAATAACACATTCAATCTTCTGACATTCACCAAACAATCCATCCCATAGATTATCATAGTCAAAAGTTTTCTTGTATAGTTCATTCATTTTTCCAACAACTCGATCCAATTCTTCACAGAGTAACAGTTTCTCACCCTAGAAAATGTTTTAAACATAACGTCTCATCAAAAAACCTAAGGAATCCACTACATATTAGCCGGAACAAATTAAAGCCTAATACAACGATTGTATCAGGTTGAACAGACACAATTCAGAGCAAAACAGACAGTAACTCTGCATATAACTCAAACAACCACATTCCTTCAAACTGTTACACTTCACACCAACATGTAAGGTAGATACGAAACGAATGATACAAAACTTGATAAAACTGTATGAGTTCAGGGAATAAACAGAATGAACTTAATCAAAATATCCAAAACTCCGGAAATCATCAACAGCGTATCCACATCCGATACTGTGACTACGGTTGACAGACATCAAACTCTCCAACCACTTATTCCTAACACACTGAGGACCCTCAGTTAAACAGCTTACACTTCCGTCCACAATTAGGATACACTCGTGGGTTAGGCTAGTTGATTTTCAACCACCACTTCAAACAATGTCCCAACAATCCAGACTATCGTCAACCAGATATGCATTGATTGAAGTTGTCACACACACTTCACACCAGCATGTAAAAAACACGTGGATCGAAAAAAAACCATGTCAAAGTAGACTACAGTGTATCCAATGAAAAGAAATTTCACAATCACACTTAGTGAAAACACTGAACATTTGAAAAACGTCAAACAGCGAATACATCTACACCATTGTGACCATCATGCCAACAAGTCGTCTCAAACCATTGCTTACCATTATCTCGAACAACCAAGTCACACAGCCTACACCTACCTCCCTATATGCTTCACATCAAACGTCAGTATCTCCAATCTCCTCACAACAGATTTGGACCATTCTCCAGTTCAATCACCTGTACATCATCACTCTGTTCCATTGACCAACTCAGTTAATTATGATGACATCAATTTGTAGGCAATGTACACCATATCCTGACACAGCTCACCTCAAACGGGTAATGGATTACAAATGTTGAAATTAACTCATCAACCTTGTGAACATTCATGCACTAGACAATGAGCCACATCCATCGTGTGACGATTAGTCATACTACAGGAAACGACAAGATGGAGATGAAGGAAGGATTGTTTATTATTGACATCTTGTAAAATAGTCATCAAATATTCTACACTTCCCACTAACACAGTCATTTCTACAATGTCCTTCATTTCCTCTTCTCCTTCTAACCTGATTTGCTTTTAATATGCCCACATTATCCCTTGCCTTTCTCTGCGCAGAATCTTTACCCACTGCTGGTAATTCCCTACCATTTCTCCTGCCCTCTCAACACTTACTGCTTATATCCATTCTGATCAGCAGAGAGCACTACAATGCTACCTGGCTGCCAAAACATCCACACGTCGAATGGGACTCCAACTCGTAACCCGTTGCTTGTTAGTCGTCTCCCTAAACTAATGACAAACATGAACCAAATTACAAACTAGTCACTAGTGGTTAACTATGACAAGCATACTCATTAACTAACTGGATCAAACTGATAATTTGCTCTCCATAATACATCAACCAGGCTCCTAATACACTAACAATCTCTTATTACGCCTCTCACTTCTCTATTCACAATACTAACAAGAAACAATCAACAATTATGTTCACTAATCAAATCATAATTATTCGAAAGTGTGACAGTTTACACAACTACCCAACTAAGTAGGCTCAATAATGAATGAATCCACCCACCATATCACTTGAAAGTTGAATACTGAAAGTCAATAGAATAAACTAAGGTAGAAGTCAGTTAAACACTCACAGTCAACATGAGAATAAGGGAATTAACAATTTTAGCCTATACTGTAATACAAAAATTAATGACTATAACAACAATACAATAGTATAGTTAAACTAACCTCTAATCTTTTTGTCTTATCCATAAGATTTGTGATTATTTCTGAAGAGAAATGACTCCCAGTACAATTAGAATTAGATGTATATGCTTGGATACTTTTTGGACATGGACTCAAAGGTGGGAAAGATGAACCACCGTTAGCTAGTCGTGTTTGTAATTGAGCCACCAATGTACGAAGTTTAGCTAGTTCTGCATCTTTTGGATCAGCACGATTTAAAATCGGTTTATTTTTAATTAAACGTGCTCGATCAGCATACCTTAAAAGAATTTTTTTAAAATTTATTTCAAAGTAACACAATGAGAAATCTAGCTGAACTTCATCAAAGAAAAAAACAGTCAGTCATCTTACACCAAGAACATAAATCCCTTTCAAACTTTCATTCATTCCAGACAAAATTGGAATTTCTCAATATCCTTGCCTAACTGTTTACTACATGGATGTCAGCAACCTGGTTAACTACATTTCCCTACCTTAACAATATTATCAATCGTGATAATTATAGTAGTCGAATTATGAATAGAATAGATGACTAGAAGAACTGTCCATTTACAAAGTTCATGAGTAAGTTCTCACCTAACTAACATATTTCTATTCAAAGAAGATGTAGAATAAACTAAGGTATAGTTGAATTTTTGCATTCGGGCATTCCAGAAGCAAGTAGTACATAATTTCTCCTCGTCCTCCTAGAAACCATTTGGAGGGATAGATGTAAGTAAGGAGGATCATCAACCTCAGATAAAGTGTTAGGAATGCCTAATCCATAGAAAAAACTAACTTATGTGTATATTATCATTTTAAGCCTTCAACTTTATTTCTGAGCTCTTTTTGAGCCATCAAATCTTACTTATTTCTATCACAGGTTACGATAAAAACCGCTGATTGCTTCATTTAACACCTTTCATCTCCTCTTTTGTTTTCCATCGTCAAGGCCATCTATCGAATTTTTAGCTAAGAATTCATTAGGCCGAATTAAACATACTTTCCATCACATCGTTGTCTTCCTCTTCCAGTACCAGCTAAATATCAACTTGAAAAGTCATTCTTCTATCGCTAATCATATCGCGTACGAGTACTGTAGGCATCAATTCAAATTCATACCTCCTACAAGACCGATCAGTTACACCAGAAGCACATCATTAACCCTGTCAACCCCATTCAAAATCCTACGCAAAATAACCCAGCCCTCCACTTACCAGACCAGTAAACACTAATGAGGAACAAAGTAGAAGAATACATAAAATACACGAATGCATATAATGAATAACAAGAGAATGAGATATCCCAGAATCTCAGCTTCCTTACGTAATAAGCTAAACACAACACGTTCTCTTTCAAATCAACAACATATCACAAAACCAAAAAACAATCAGAAGAAAAATGCAATCCGAGATGGACAGAAATTCCATTTTACTCCTGCACTAACACCATTTGACAAAAATCTAACTAATAGACAAAATCAACCTACAACTTCACACACACACACACACACAACCCCATCACCTCAACTTCCCACACTTCACAGTATCACACAAACAACAGGTGGGTAGAATAACATTCATATCAAACAGGACAAAATTGGGTGAGAGAATAAACAATTTCAAGACAACGGTTACTTCAGATATTCAAGCTACCAAGACCTTAAAGACTGAGTACATCTACACCATTGTGACCGATTTTCAACCTTGTCATCAACACTCCTCAACCTATCGTGTCGGAGACCCGAGTCAAGTAGTCTGCATTCCCCCGCCACCCCACACACACACACGGACCACACAAATATTCAGCCACTGCATTGAATCCGGTCATGTCTCACGATCTGGCCATCCTCAACCCTCTTCCAACCAAATCCAACTTCTCCTACTATAACACGTCGAGGGAGACAGTGATTTAGCATGCGCAGTACGCGTCCAACTCACCTCAATCCATGAAGGTGCACAACCTCATCAATCGACTTGCCTTGTACCCCCTTCCTCTCACTTCAATATTTCTCACACAGTGATTCCACCAAACACCAGCAATACTACAAACACAACTGTCATCAAACCTCTCCAACCATATCATGTCTTCTATTTCTAACAGCCATGTCGTATATCAAAACGGAACGAACTGCACCCTCTCATATTCATCCTTTCATAGATAGTCCCACATCTCGCCAGTTAGCAAACGTAAGCTTCTTTAACAAAGATAGTTCACAAGATGGCTTAAGTACATGTACAATTTTATTATCTTCCCAAGTCATACACGTTTTGCATTATTTTTAAAAACATGCATTGAAGACATCTACAGAACAATGGTATAAAATATATCCACATTTTCTAAATACAATAACTTCAAACACCATCACAATCTCACCTTCAAGATAGATTCAATTATTCAACACATTTGAAAACGTCATTTGTATTCAAACAACGATCTCTTCAGCTGCATACATTATACAAGATAATATTGGCTTGCTGACGACGCATAAACGACTGACATAAGATCAAACTTCATTACTTATCTATTTACCCTAAGTAGTCTAGTTTCCACACGCTGGAACACTTCTTACACAATAGAAACTTCTCAGTGTATGTTGTATTTCGATGACGACTTATTTCAGAACCAAATGAAAAAGCTAAATCTTCCAACGCCACGTTCATCTATCATCCACTTTACATAACCTTTCCTTGTCTCTTTCAACCTTCTCGAGATGTGACGAAAGTATGTCTAATATCATGGAGATTGTTTCACTAGCACACGATATGAAGTTCCTGGTGATATAACTCATAGTTCATCTAAAACTTCATCATTTGTTTCTTACTATGTCCTTCTCATGTAGCTTATTCTGTACTGCAAATATCCCCTATCCTCGTTATTATTATTATTATTATTATTATTATTATTATTATGATCATTGTTATCATTATTATTATTATCATCATCATCATTGGAACGCAAACATAGTACGACAAGGACACCAAGAAATGCGCCGTAAAAAATAATATAATATTATCAAGACATTAAGCGAACGGAGGTGGGTAGGAGTAAAAACGCCCTCTCGTATAAACTTCCCATACCACCCTCGGCAAAACATGTATGATACAATGATCAGGATTTACCAGTGGGGCACATTAACCAAACTCTACATACAACTTAAAGTCAATTCCATCGAAGTTATCTATGATAGAACCAACGCATCCACTCAATATGTAAACACTTTCGTACTTACCTCAGTGCTTACAACAATGTTTAATAGGAATACAATCAATACTGTCACTCGACGGGAAGCAAACACTATTAAAAGTATGCCACAAGTTCCAGTCTCTGATAGGATAACAGTCTACTCAAGACAATATATACACTCGCTGACAAGAGATTTTTGTTGAAAGACTACTGACACCACAGGTTTCTACATTTTAGTCTCCTTCACCAAATCAATTTCCTCTTTCATATCCATTTTATTATTCTATATCTATTCAACTCCTCTACAATCAAGTGTGGCAATTAAAATTGATTTAGTTCTGTCTTAACTAACAAGATACTGTCTGTCTACCTTAGGCATTTATGCTTTACGAATAAACAACTCTATAATTGGTGGTAGTTCAGCTTTGTGAAATCGTGACTCTCATCTCAAACTAGTCGACTGTCTCATCATCTTGTTATGCAAACTTTCATATTCATTGCATTCCATACATTTGTCAACAGAAAATAACCAATCCAAACAGATCCATTCAACAATAAACACCTGCTCTATATGCAAACTCACCTTAGAGTATTCAATGTCTCTTCCATATTCATATCTGCAGGGCTTACGCATGCAAGCATTAAAGTTGCGCTATTCCCACCCAATGAATCTTGAAGTAGACGAGTTAAACGAGAATCACGATAAGGAATATGCAATCGTTTCTTTGCATCCCGTTCACACAAAGCACTTATCACATTACCAAGTGCAAGTAGACCCCTATTAATATCAATACCTGTAAAACAAAAAATATTTTCAAGCATAATATACCGAAACAAACATTTTGTTCAACTACACACAGATAGTACGATTTTTGAAAAACATCTCACCGTGATGGCTATCACAGATATGGAAAATCGATTCAAACACAAAAAATACCAACTCGTCTTCATTCAAACATTTAGGCAATCAAGTAGTATCAGTAAATCTTTCACCCCTTAACAATGGTGTGGCTTCATAGTCAGATAGAACTTTAGAAGGAACATGGGAAAAAACTAATAGGAAGGAGTGATGGCTTTCACTGACACAAATCCATCAAGTCAATGCTTATTAATCCTAGTTGTGAAACTATGGCTTATTACTCTCAACAGTTGACCTTCAACCACTAGCATCACTTAACATCATTTATTCACATTCAAACAGCCAGGCAATATTACCAACACTTATACAACAGGTGACTGATTTATGCTCGATGATAATCAAAGGGGAAATGAAAAGTTAAACCACCACCACATTCCAACTAGTGACCAACGGGTTTGCAACCCGATGCTCTTCCAACTGACCTACGACGTTCAACTGCTGACCCAATTCTCACTTCACTCTAATCATCAAGGGTTTTGCCCGACTACCATATGGGTTTGTGACGCGTTACTATCGCTCGATCGTATTTACACCGGTTGCCTAGTCACAACTCCTCATCAAAATCAAAATATAACTGAATTACAGAGGGAGAGCATCATATTGATTATCACTTGACTATCTGAGATAGCAGCCGTATTTTGGCAGACTAGTATTTATGCTGGATGAAATGAAAATTTCAACCACAACTGGATTCGAACCAAAGCACCAAACCGGAAACCCAGTGGTCACTGGTTTGACTCCGGCCACGGTCCAGATTTTCATCTCACCTTTAATCATCAACTAGCATAAATACTAGTGTGCCAAACTACGACTATCCCAAATAGTCAAACGATAATCAAGGTGACTAATTCCCTGATGCGTCAGTTCAAACATCGCTGCTACAAGTTCAAGTCATCTACATCTACGAGCTGTTATTTATCGTAATCAGGTTCTGTAAGTCTCCACATTAAAGCGCACTACAATGGAAAATGAATGCCAGCAGTGTGAATAAGATCATGCAATGGATCTCTTTTTAAAAACACACAGTAAAGAATATCGATTTCAGACTACAAATTTGCTTTCAGAGGTATTATTCTCTCCAAAGTAGTACGATCTCGCTTAAATTAAATTCATTGTCGCTTAACCAAAAATGTCAATTTATTTTCTAGACCCATAATTGGTAATATCTTGTAGCGAGGAAAGGGAAATAGAAGTGGAAATTACGTAAGCGACACGACAATATTTGGCAGCGTGATTTAGTAAATGCAGGTTGAAGTCTGGAAGCAAACACTTTGTTCTACAAGATTCGCTCACACTAGCCGGTCGACAAAGTACAACGCAATGAGTAAGAAGGCTATGAGGAAACGCGGAAATCACATTGCTGAGGCTTTGACAGCAAGAAAATCGAAACTGGAGTTGTGTCCAGAACACACCTTTCCCACTCACTGTCCTCATCCACTTCTGACTTCTCAACCGTAACTAATCCTTTTCACCCCCACAGTTTTATTACGTAGACGCTTTCATAGCTCACTCCCCATTTCATCATGCCCTTCCTCACTCACAACTGTCGTCTACTCATTTCGCTATCGACTCTCTCCTTCCAGATTTCAACTCACACCTACTAATTCACCTTGTCAAACATCTTCATACCTTTTCCGTAATCTCCACCTCCTCATTAGTAATTTCTCCGCCACAAACTAACAACAATCATTGGTCAACAAGCATCCACATTCTTTGTTAACCAATAATAAATACGCACACTAATTACATTCATATCAGGTTGTACAGATCTGCAGAGGACAATACTGTCGAAAACAAACTTCTTCAATGAAGTCAGTCTTCGCTTATGATTCGATGGGATCATTTAAATCTTTGCAAATCTTTGAAAACACGTACATCTACTATAAGTATTAGCAGAACCATGTCGACAAAACCTACGCGAAGCATCACATAACCTGACAGCACAAAACAATAGTTGATATCTCAGTGTTTTGAATGAGAAGTGAACAACTGTCTGCTTTTTCATCAGACTAGCTTCCAAAATAGTTGACCTTGTCTCCACTCCAATAAATCTGGATTACAACAAAGCAATCAGATAATTAATAATTCAGCTACTTAAGACATTTCTGATCGGTGGGCTGGTTCCTACATACAACAATCATCGTAAAACCATGGTTGCACATATGCCAACCGAGAAAAACACATTATCGAATTACGATTGAAAAATGTTTAGAGCTTAAACTTTCTTAACTCTTCTTGTATCCTGCTGAGGAATCTGCAAACTTGAACTTATAAGCGCCCACTATCAAGCTTATATGTTAATTTGTTTCTCCATGGTCTATCATCTGACAACTCAATCGATTAAGCACCAGGTCAGTACACTGGAGGCAGTCGTAGTAACCCACGATTTTCTTTCTCGACCACAATCAATCACCCAGCAATCCATCTATACATATACTAATCTAACAACAATCCCCATCTAGGACAACTTGACCGCTAAAAAGTAATCATCAGTTAAATGCAGGCAGTTCAGTACGAATATAAACAGCATCTAAAAAATAACTGCGTACAGTACATTAAATATGCCTCGTAGCTGAGTAGGCAGACTTCTAAGAGATTATCCTACTGCACTCCAATGAAATAACATTACACTTACCCTCTTTAAGTCGATCCCCTTCAGCATGTGTTTTCTTAATGCGTTCAGAACCAGCCAAGTCAACCAAATGCAGCTTAGCGGTCAGCGTGTCTCCTGCGTTCTCCACACTCGACTCCGTTGTCTTAGGTCGCATCAAAAAGCTAAGTGTTAGGATGGCATGACTGCGACTAGACTTCATATTCATGGAAGTACTACCAACACTTCGTTTTGCTGAGCCGGATTCAAGAAGACTAAGGACTTCTTTCGGCGAAGTGACCGATGTTTCAGTCAGTCCAGGAATCTATGACAAACAATTCCAATGTCAAACGATATGCATACCTTCACGAGTTGGTTCTCTTCACGAATCTGTAGAGGGGCAGATGCATCTTCTGCCAGCAAATCATGTATATCTTCTTTATATATCTGGAGAAGCATTCAGAAAAAGGTGTATATTACCTCCAGAAATGAGACTTTCACTGCATACTCATACTCATAATCCGACATCCTCTCGAACAAATCACCAATAATTCGAGGAACAATGCCGACAGAATCTTCGGGTAGGTTCTCAGTAACATACGTACCCATTGTATATGTCTTCCCACTCCCAGTCTGACCGTACGCAAACAAAGTAGCGTTGTATCCTTTGAGGACAGTGTCAACCATTGGGAGCGCTGCCTTCTTATAAACAAACTCCTGAGAATCCGTCTCTTTGAAAATAAAATCAAAACCGAAGAGCTTATCATTCCCAATTATTATCCGACCCTCTTCATTAGGATATGATAAACAAGTGGAACAGCCATCAGTAACTTCATTGTCTGAGAGCGGTCGGATACGTATACCAACTTTTACACTTGTGTCTCCAGTCTCCATCTACAAAAAGCATAGTAACAAGTGTAGAAGAGGTTGGTTACTGGGTGTTTACGACAGACATCTATCCGGTATATGTCAAGAAACAAAACAACAGTATAGCTAAAAGTGTTCAGCTTTGCAGCTTATTAGAAAAACATTTATAAACAAATTAAGAACACAGTAGTATAAGTAAGGTGGCACTCATGGCTAACTGACTGAAGCATCAATAAAAAACACCAATTGTGATAACTGTAATAATGAAGAGTCCAATACATAGATTTGGAGGAGTAAATTGAAATCAATTTAACGATCTACTACCCATCCATACAGTAGACAATAAGCCACATTTACTATGTGAGGGCTAATGATACTATCTGGCTGCTCGCATTAACATAGGCGCAGCTGGGTTCGAACCAGCAAGCCATAGGTTGGAAAACAAGTGCCTAGACTAATCAGCAACAAATCTTGAAAGAGGGATTTAAGATGAAATTGGTTCAGAATGGTCACTGAGAAATATCACATAAAATTAATCTGCAAAATGAAGAGAATGGTCAGGAATGTGGTTATATAAGAAAGAGTTAAGGAGGAGTTAAAAACTTCTATATACCTTGTCGATAGCCAATAATAAAGGAAAGCAGGAAACTACAAGGCTTCAAATAGTTTACATTCGGAAAAGCATCCACTAATGTCGCAGGTCAGTGGGCTATGTAAACTCTGGATACTCAACCAGACAGCCGTTATGCAGTCAATTAGTCAATATGAACGTGGGACATGGCATTAATTTGTCACGATCCGGATTGTGATGTCTCATGCCAGCACATCAACGTAGGAGGCACAAAGATGAGAGGTAGAGAAACGAAGAACGTTTTCTCGGGTTTGCTGTCTCCCCACTCCATTAGGAGGTAAGATTGTTGCGGAGCCTAGAATATATGTCCAAGCTGATTCCCCTGCAGTTAGCACAAGACTTCTCACCTTTCTTGAAGACTATGACAAGAATAGTAGGAGGGAGTCGTATTATTTTCATACACCAGTTAATACTTCAGTTAATTTGACAAATAATACCCTTATCAGTGTCTTCAAATACTCTTGGTACTGGTCCGTCTGACCCTTCTGCTCTTAGTCGTCTCACATTGTCTACAGCTTTCTCAACCTCAATAAGTGTTCGGGAGTCCTATCTCGATGTTCCAATCAGGATCCGACTGGACAATGGCGACCGCATGGTAACTGGAAGGGAGGTGAACTGTTCCTTGAAGTGTCCTATCAATCCTTCCAGTCATCTCCCTTGCGAGTGGATCGCAGACCCATCCTTCACTATCATCCCACTGATCACTGACATGCTGGCTTGTTTCCTTATTCAATATGAATAACTGTTACCTAATAACGCTGCCTTTTCCAACTATTTAGCTTTCGCCGCCCACCACTGTCCAAACTGCCCTGCTGATGAGTGATAAACTATATTATGAAGTGGGGGTATTAGCAATAGATCCCTGGTTGAAGGAGACTTTAATGCACCTCACATTAATTGGCAAGAGTTCACCACAATTGATCAAGCCAGTTGTTTTGACAATCTGCTGTTGACTGCTCTAGAGTGAGCGCTTATGCGTAGTTCAAAGTATCCTACATACCATGAGTCAACGCATGAGCTATCAGTTGTAGATGTAGTCTTCATATATCAGGCAATGAAGAGTTTACACTAAAATATTGTAAAGTTAGAAATAAACCCACGATGTCATCAATGTAAGTGGGAATGCATACGAAATGTCGTTAGTTGATGGTTCTTGAAAATTTCCTGAGTGCCTATTCTTTCGTACCCAGAGGAGAGACTCGAAGAAGTGGCGGATCACTGTTTTATCTTAAGGGGAGGCGAAAAAATTGGTAAAATTGTATCTGGTCAAAGTAGACAGTCTATCTAACTATTTTAGCCTACTGTTTTCTATTGACAATTCTGATAGGATTCTTAACACCGATAGTTTTCCTAATGTTCCTCTAATGGAACCTATTGAGACCACGATACAGACAACGTAGAACCTCGCACACAAGTGCATCACCTCAATTGGCTACACTTCACAGCAACATACAAAGATTACGTGGAGAGACTGGTATTAAACAAGTCAAAGTCGTGTGAGAGAATAAACAATTTCAGGATAACGGTTAGTGAAGATAATCAAGCTTTACAAGACGATAAAGAGTGGATGCATTCACACTATTGTGACCGATTTTCAGCAGTGCATCCCAGTGAGTGACGCTGATCCCAAAAAGACTTGGGCCCGAGAACAAGATTAGTCACTGGCAGACAGGTGTTCCAGATACGACGAAACACACGTCCTGGATACTAATGCTAGCCATTACCTATCACTAATATCAAAACTGAAAATACAGGCAATATCGAAGCATACACGTAGAAATCTATACGCCAACAGAGATCGATCAATGCGGTTCAATCAACGACGAAATTCCACAAATATAATCATATAAGTTATACCCGATGCACAAGAAGTGGCTATCGTGACTCGGTGGCCTAGTGGATAACGCTCTGGCGTTCGGAGAGGTCGGCCCCGGTCTCGAGTCCTAATGGGAGCAACATAGCTCACTGGGAGGCAGGTATGCTCAGATAAAGAGTCCCAAACAGGACGGAACGCGCGTCCTGAATTTCACTGCTAGCCGCTACCCATCGTCAACAGCTACTTAGGGATTGCAAGGGTGGAATAACAAGTCCTATGTTTGAGGGATGTGATGGATAAATGGCTACCGATTATAGACTTGTTAGTCTTGCTAGTATAGTAGTTAAAACAAAGGAGATAATACCGAAGCATTTTACTATTTATTTATTAGAACACAAACATGGTACATCAAGGGCACCAAGAAATGCGCCATACAAAGAGGTACTACAACACTGTGAAGACATAAACGATGGAAAAAAGGATAAGAAAGAAAAACAATAAGAATAGCATGATTAGAAGGGCAGTCCAGTAAGACATTCAAAACAAAACATTCATTACTTTTCAGCAGAAGATAGGAGAAAGCTACGGCATGACAGCCAATGGTTTCCATTCTCAGTCATATCTGATGTCTCAAGCACCTGAGTCCCGTAAGTGCGATTTGATTAGCTGCACAGTAAAACGAAATTGTCCGCATATTCAAGACCAAATAGCCGTTCTCCATGTAGTAGATTTACACTAAAGTTAAGGAGGAATGGAGAAATCGAGCAACCCTTATTAGCCCCTTTGCTGGTTTGGAACAATGGTTGCATGTACTGACTCTACCTGAGGTGTTATTATACAAGGCTTTCAAGATGTTAATAACTTTCTCAGACACATCCCTAACAGACAATTCCTGAGTACAGCTCTGTCCAACGAATCGAAGGCAGCCCTAGTGTCAGCAAAAACAACTGTTGGGCTGCAATATGTCTGGCGATGTTCAAGCATCTGGAAGAAGAATGAAACCCGGCCTGTTCCTCACGCGTTTCGTAGTCTGAAAAGTATGATAGCCAATATTTCCGACACTACTGGTAAGAGACTAATACCCCAGTGATTGGCACATACATTACGTAGACCCTTTTTAAAGATGGGCACGACAATGGTTTCGTTCCATAGTGATGGGAAAGAATGGGTCAAAGTTAAAGTTAGAGACGATAAAATCCCTATGAGTATTGTGTTTATTGACTTTGGCAAGCCTTCTGATAGCACCAAAGTGTTCATAAAGTAACTTCACACACTTGACATTGACAATGGTTCTCGCCCGAGGCACAGGATATTTGCACGAGAAAAAGTAGAGTAAGATCGAATAGAGTACTGTTTGAGTAGCAACCTGTAACTAGTGGTTTTCGCCTGGAAACTATCCTTCGATCGCTTCTTTTCCCTCTCCTATACGTTAACGAAACAGTAAAGATGCTCTAGTCATCATAGCTATTTGCTGATGAAGTTTAGCTAGATATGGGGAACCACTCATAATTCTGATGAAACGTCTGTACTCCAAGCTGATACTGCCGAAACGGTCGAATGTTCTAAACGATGGAGCCTGGGAATCAATTCTAGCAAAAATGCGGTAATGTTTATTGGAGATGACTGTTCTGGTGGCTATTCAATGTATGGTCAACCAATACGCCAGGTTTTAGAACAAAAATACCTAGACTTTATCGCATGTAACGACCTTTAAAAACTGCAAATTGTAATGCTCCTACAATTCAAGCTTTTCGCATACTATAGTCGTTTTGTAGAGCACTCAAATGCGTCGATGGAGTCGCTGTGCATCCCTAATATAAGGCCTCATTTTGGGTGCTGCATTCAGGCTAGTCCATGTTTCAAGAAGAAAGCTGGTAAGCTGGAACGGGTTCAGACGGTCGCCATTTAGTTAGGAAAAGGTCTTGTGTACCTCCCTGACGAAGAGCAATTGGCAGGGTCAAACCTTATACCCTCATCCCAGAAAGAAAATCGATGACTTGATTTTAGCCTTTTGAATCCTGAAAACAACGTGGGCACTGATTTGTCAAACTTCTTTATACCGTCTAGTACGGATCACCTTCGAGGACGTCTAAAAAGATCCAAAACTCGTGATTGAATTAAATTCCAGGGAAGTACCGGCTCTCCTACTGAGTGGTCAATGATAAGAACAAGTCTATTAAACAATTGGTGGCAGCTCCTTCGATGATCGCATTCAAGGAAAAGCTGGACCTTCATAGAGATAACTATTTCAAGGATAAAGCATCGACTAATAGCCCATGATACTATTCACTCAACTGAAAGAACTGCCACTCCTTCAAAGTGCGTGCTAAGATTACCCAGTAAATAATACTGATGCGTTTTTGACATATCTGACGAACAAACTAAAATTAGATTACAACCTATCACACGCACCATGTCTTACTGCTTTAATAACTAAACAAGTTGGAACGACCAGCTGTTGAGACGTCTAACATGTAGGTAGGTAGGTGGGTACATTGCTGCAGTGGGACGTGTGAATTCAATGGAGACCAGGAGAATCTGGAATGGAAAAGATGACAGAAACTAAGCAGACGACAAAGCAAGTGCATGAGATGTACTTACACTTCATAATAAACGACAACTGACAAACGTCCGAAACCGAAAAGTGACTGAGTAAGGAAGAACACCTGCCGATTGAAGGACTACTTTGTCAAACTCCCAAACAAGGGTGACCTAAGTCTTTGCAGGAACTGGAGCGGAATCATTCTCCTGTCCAACCCAAGCAAAATATTAAGCCACGTCGTTCTGGAGAGACCGAAAAATACGCCGGATTCAAAATTACCACCAGAACAGGCTGGTTGGCCGGCTTCATGGAAAACAAATTATGTGCGGATCGAATTGCAACGCTATGCATTATCATAGAACAGGGCATAGAATGGCAGTCAACTCGACCCAACCTCGACTTGGAAAAGACCTTCAATAGTGTCGATCGAGAAGTAATTTGGCAGCTGCTTCATCACTCCACTTTTAGTGCCACAAACCTGGATCAACCTCGTTCAACAGCTATGATGATGCTATATGCCGGGTGATTTACAATGGAAAGCTCAGTGATGTCTATGAAGTGAATATAGCAGTAAGACAAGGTTTTCACCTACTATCACCGCTCAACTTCCTGATTGTGGTCGACTGGACCGGACTCGATCATACAGCAAACCGTGATGAGCAAGATGGGCATACGCTGTTTGACCGACGAAAAGACAAAGACCCTAGAAGATTTGGATTCCACCAATGATGATTTATGTCGAATATCTTGTCGTACAAACTCAAAGATCTACAGGCGAAAACCAACAAGTTGGCAGAAGAGGCAGCGAAGATCGGACTTCAGGTGAACGCAGAGGAGACAGGGGTGCAGATACCAAACCAACAACTACAAGCACCAATCACCATCAATGGGAGGAATCTACAAGAAGTTGTCTCTTTCACCCACCTACCTAGGCAGCATCGTCTCAACTACAAGCGGCACAGATGAGGATGTCAAAGCCAGAATCGGAAGGGCAGCAAGACAGGCCTCCCTTCATTCATCTGAAATCAGTGTGGAGATCTATTGCACTGCACTCAGCATGAAGCCTGAACAACATCCGGAGTTTTCAACACTAATGTCAGTCAAGTAAGTCAGTGCTTCTATGAGGTGGTTGAGATACTTGACGCATTACGAAAAGCATTTCTAACAAACTGCAGACATGCATCATCAACAGCTGCCGCCTACGCTCACTGAATACTGAATATCAGATGGATGACCAGAACAGTAAGAATAAGCAACAAGGAACTCTGCCTGACTGGCAACGAACCATGCAAGAACCCATCGCATAACAGATATGCAGAAGTGGAGATGGATTGGGCATACAGTGAGAAGACCTTTCAAAGACATCACGCACCAGGTCGTCGAGTGAAACCCACGCGGGAAACGACGAGTAAGGCGTCCAAGGGTGACATGGAGAAGACCGTGGGAGGAAGAAATGAAAGGTTATGAGCAGTGGTGGAGCCAGTTTAGGAAGGCTGAAGAACAGAGAGTGAAATGGTGACGTAGTAATGAAGCCCTGCGTCCCACTATGAACCTAAGAGACAAATTAAAATAATAAATGACAGCTGATTGCAAGAACATTACAAAACACCTCAACTGTACAGCGCGGCTGAAAACCCAAAGGCCAATCGTGCAGCAGCAAAACGAAATTATATGTCCAATATCCAACATTTTGACGAACTTGTATAAACTAATTAACATCTTCACGCTCTCACCTAGGCTTTCGAAATGATTACGGGTTTCTGGTTGATTCTGATTTAGTGAGTCTACTCACTCGCCTTCTGTGAGTGCGCCTAGCCGCACGGGCGGTTGTGTTGGTGATACTTTTTGGAATTGTATAATTCTCCCAAGGACTATAGTGCAGATGAGTTTCGTGAATTGTCATACCACTAGACGTTTGTTCAGCTGCTGTAAAAAACGGGAAGGATGAACACATGTCAACCTCAAACGAAGTCGATGAAGTGAGAAAAACACGTTGGATAGAAGGTGAATGAAAGTAAAGGAGAAAGCTGGGTAGGTTCTGGAGGGGCAACGGTGTTATGCAGAACCTTAATAAACAGGATAAGGTCTTAGAGTCGGAGGTAAGAGGGGGAGCATGTAAAAGTAAAGGACGGTTTATGGGAATAGAAATAGTAATTTGACTGGTGGGGGTATGGTAACTGGAGATGAGCTGTCTTACGTGTAAGTATAATGTTGACTCAAGCTCGCGATGTCAGTGAAGGTACAAGCGATTTCATACGGCCCCGAATATGCTGCAGTATGCGAAGCTAGTTGTCCGTATCAACTTATTCCGTATCCTGGCTGGAATAGTCCAAGCCGTTCCATAGCCAGTAGTTCGAGAGCAATAACAATGCTGTTAGCAGTGTGGTTTCTGAAAGTGGATTGGTGTCTCAGCTAGTTTCAGCTTTGTACATGGGCTCGAATCAATACCTCTGTTAGGCTTCTTACAGTCCTCACAGAACGTATGTTTCGTGTTTAGCTTCTTTACCAATAGTACAGGTGAACCAACCAAACGGTCGGCCTCTTTAATTACACCATCTTATGACATCTGATGGACCAGCCACTTTACTTCTGTACACAAATGAGGAGAAATACGCTGAGCAGAAAATATCCGCCGTCAGTTATTTTTAACGGTATTTCCTGTACTGATCCGTCACAATATACGTGAGTTTTCTCATTTTGGCTACATAAACTCTCTTATTCTGCAGTCAACTTAGTGATGGGGAGGGGGTGCTTAATTCGTGCATGCTTCCTTCACTTCAACTTCTTCTACCTCAGTACTTTCGTGTATGACAAGAAATCCAGATTTCACAGACACCCCCCAATTTCTCAAACCATTAAGTTCGATCACCTCCTTGAAGAAATCCGCCACTAATATAGTCAGCCGTCATCGAGTCATCACAACAAACGAGTCACAAGTTTTATGGCCTCCCGTTTTAGCAGCACAACCAGATATGCCCAAAACTTTGTCCGCATGTCCTCCTATGCTCTGAACTGGCTGCTCAGTATCGCTCACATCCTATTAACGGGACTGCTGTCTCTGTACCAACTTAAATGAATTCTTGACCATTCATTTACACTCAAGCATAGTCACTCGTACCTAAAAAGTTCACTCACTCCGAGCCTTAGCAGCAGACAGAAATGCTCATTGTAATTTCTCTAATTTTTACGTGCCAAGTCTCTATCCTTCCACAGGGCCAAAATCCGTCTGTTCTGCTGGGATACACATGGAGGACAGCCTTCCGCCGTTGCAGGTCTTCAATTTCTCCATTTACTGAACTTTTCCGCCACACCACTATATCTGCTGCTACTCTCGTGCCTACTAGCTGTCTATAATTTTTGCAAGATGCTTGGAATCTATTTGAATAATTAGTTTTCAAAAGCTTCAGCCACTGAAGAGTGGCGAGTAGTATGCCGACCATGATTTTTGTAAACAGTATACCTTCCAAAACTACGGAGCACTACGCGGCAGTCGTTGGAAGAGATTCATGGCCAATGCCACCAGGTCATCCACTGCATCAATCCTGACACCACTGGCCCCCTTCATATTATTCATCCTCAACGCGGAGTCTTTAAACTGACTACACTCGGGCACAAAAAAGTCAACCCGTAACAACTCATGACAACCTCAACTTCGGTGAATGTTGCCTTGTAGCCTGCCTTCGTCTGGCCACCACGGTTGCCTCCAAAATCAAAAGCTCCCACCCGTCTTCTCGTCCCCAAGGCCCTTCAAACTTCCTAAAGAACATCTGGATGTCTCAATCCTCAAAAGTTGTAGGTCAAGGTGTCTTCATATATACCAATAGAGAGAAGCCCAATGAGCAGCTGGAATATTTTACCCACTTGGAAATTGTCACTTGTTCTGCATGCCGGTCCATCCATTTCTTGAGCTTCATATTCCCATTCAATATGATGCGCTTTTTCGGTATAATTTCTCACGGAGGAAAATGTACTGTTCAGATATCGCGATACGTTTGTAGCTTACGTGGAGTTTCTCAACAGGGCTGATAAGCTATTATTTTGCTGTTGGTTATTGTTCATTTTGCATTTTTAAACGTCGTGTCTGTTTACCCGCCTGATAGAAGTCTTCGCTTCTTACCATCAAACCCTTGACTCCCAACGCCAATCTCTGAGGAGGCGTCAATTATTAGATATTCTTGCTGATATCCCCCTGCCAATGCAATCGGCCAGTAACAATAACTACCAAATTAGTCCCTTGATTTTATGTATGCCTGCTAAATCCCCAATTCCCTATGGGCTGCAACTTCCGAAAATGTGTTCCTTGGAGCCCCAGGGATGCTGAGAGAGAAGGTACTTCTAGTTTTATCTTGATCACATAGTTTGATGAAGAAACCATCAGTCACATTAGTGCAGCAACTACGAGCAGCTTGAAAGTTTCGTCCACACCAATAATCAAGCTGAATAATATTGCGTTGACGAATCATAAAACTTGAGACTTCTTGGGTTTCGAAACTATGGTAAAAATATGTCTTTTGATCTAGACGAAATTCAAGACGCGCACATCTCCATATCTAATCAAAACACACAATTAGTAATGAGGAAGACCACTTTGAAACGCGAAAAAGTTCCGTGCAGGCATCCTGTTGGAACGCCAAGTCTAGACGACACGACAGATTTCACTGACACATATTTGGCGCAGAAAGTTTCTCGGAAAAAGCTTAAGAAGCATTCCTCACCAGATGAGTTTAAAGGTGCTCGTCGTCAAGTTTCACCAGGAAGCCCCAATAGTGCAAAACACACTTCACGACCATCTCAGTGCGTCCACACCAGACCTGTTTGGAAAACAACCCAGGAGTCACCTGCCCCGAACATGTCTACTCAAAGCGAATGCATGCACTACTAAACCGTTTCGTGTGAACCAGCTCCCCACACACATATCCTGCGTCACTGACTGGTGCACACAGAAAACCTCACGCTTAATCAAAAGCTATACTTCTCTCACCCGCTCATGATTTATGACCGTAACCTATAACCCCACACCCAGCTGTCCATCGTAAGCCAGCACCTCTAGGATCTCATGGAACGCTCCATTGATAGGTAAGCTGATAACTACAAACGAAGGCATGAAAATTATAACGCTGTGTGGGACTGCCGCTATGCCCATCGTCTTCTAATGTGTCACCGAGAATTCTGGCTCGCCTCCTATCGCCAGGTTAACTAATAGTTTATCAGTCTACGACACTTTTCTTCGACTTAATTCGCTCCCCATATTTCGTCTCCAACGCCTGGAACCGATAAATCTTGTCTTACCGCTATATTCACTTCATAGACATCACTGAGCTTTCCATTGTAAATCACCCGGCATATAGCATCATCATAGCTGTTGAACGAGGTTGATCCAGGTTTGTGGCACTAAAAGTGGAGTGATGAAGCAGCTGCCAAATTACTTCTCGATCGACACTATTGAAGGTCTTTTCCAAGTCGAGGTTGGGTCGAGTTGACTGCCATTCTATGCCCTGTTCTATGATAATGCATAGCGTTGCAATTCGATCCGCACATAATTTGTTTTCCATGAAGCCGGCCAACCAGCCTGTTCTGGTGGTAATTTTGAATCCGGCGTATTTTTCGGTCTCTCCAGAACGACGTGGCTTAATATTTTGCTTGGGTTGGACAGGAGAATGATTCCGCTCCAGTTCCTGCAAAGACTTAGGTCACCCTTGTTTGGGAGTTTGACAAAGTAGTCTTTCTTTCAATCGGCAGTTACCCTACCTTCGTTCTTCACTCCTAATCCTAATATGATTGTGGTATGAATGCGTCTACTGATGTCTCCGCATCTTTTTTCAATGCTTTGGGAGGTTTCCATGTGGTCGTGCCGCCTTTCCGGATTTCGGTGACTTTATGCGGTTCTAGACTTCTCTTATAATTCCGTCGAAAGGCTTGTGTTCACTGATGGTTCTGTGCTTGGGCTGCTGTCGTTATCTTTTGAGGAGTTGCAGGTGGTGTTGGCGGTCGATTCAAAAGGTTTTGAAGTGGTCAGGCCACTGTCTCTTTTGTTTCTCTTTATTGCTAACTAAGTTTTCTTCACTACTTTTCATTGTTTTCATTGGTATTGACCTCTTCCCAGATAGAAACCTGGTTATTCGATATAAGCTTGTCATTTCTCTGTCTCCCTCACCTGCATTCCTTTCCGCTTCATTTGCAAGTGTCTTTGTAGGTGTCTTTTGTCTCTCCACGCACTCTTCTTCACTTCTTTAGCCAATGTTTTTTAGGTTGTGCTCAGTTCCTCTTTTCGTTGCTTATCCCTGTAGTGTGCTGGTCCATCTTTCGCTTCATCAGCAGCAGCTCCACCACATCTACCAGCTTCTAGGCGTCCGTCGGAACCCATTTCTTGCCTTCATTCTTTTTCTTCCTTAACGCGGTTACTTGAGGTTCTTTCCGCACTTTCCTTAAGGAGTTCCTGTTTTCTTCCATACAGGTTTCTTCAGGGACGTTGCCTTATGTCTCCAATTTTGTCCTGATGTCTGACGTGAAGATGCCGTTTGTAGTTTAGGCCTTCAGTTTCTGTTCTGGTTCTTGAACTTGAACTGCGGTCGTCTATCGCCAACTTCTGTGAAGGCTTTTAACTTGATTTTGAAGGTTGCCTGCAGAAGATAGT